TCTTGCCCTGCTTTCGGAGGAAGTGAGTGCCGTGATTCACGCAGACTATCGATCGGCTCAAAAGTGTAGAAGCTACTCCGCCGCATGTGATGCAATTGTTACGGTACATGGACATTTGTGCCGGCGGCACGGCTGTTCATCAGACCCAACATCGCAACCTTCCAGCGAAAAAATGGACACCTCGCTTACATGCAAGGCGACTCCAGCGCAGCTTCCTTTCTGCAAACTACAGAAATAGACGCCGTCACCTTGATTTGTGATCAACATTGACTGTATTTGCTGGATCTGCAAACCACGTGCCTCAGTTGAATATTTTTGAAGGTAAGTTTGTTATTTTCAGTGCTTCATACATTCTATTCGTAAGTTATGAAAACTGAAAAAAGTATTGTGCCTAGGATGTTCTCGGAATATTCAACTGCGTAATTATTTGGGTTTACTATATTAAGCCGTTCTCTCATAGATACTTTATTTTTATAACAAGACCTTCTCTCTTTGTTGCATTTCTTACAGGTAGGCCTCACCCTAGTTATTCGGAAACAGGCGCTCCACCAACTAAATCATTCTAGGCGTCTCTATTGTCGTTTTGTTAAAAATAAACACTGATGCTAACAGATCTGTGTTTTGCTTCTTGTATTGTACAATTTATAGAACACCGTGCATCACTGTGTACGCGCGTGCGTGGCATTATTCTTGTGAATTGTGTACCCGTATCATAATTTGTGATTATCGCGCAGTTTATACCTTGTTTGAGGGGCTGAATAAGTTTCTAGTTGTAATAACGCACGCTAGAAGAAATTGTCGCTTAGGTGAGTTTTCAAGGATCAGCCTTACTTTATTGCTAGCAACTGCTCAAAGAATGAATGGATAGTAGTTAATTTGGTACTACTTCTGAAACAGAATATGTAACTGGCAAATTTCCAAGAAATATTAGCGTGAATGTTGGACAATTGCATAACACGCTTGCATATCAGATGATTTTGACCGAACACAATAAGGGTTGAACATACACTTGTTTCAATTGACACTCAGTACAGAAAGTCACTAGCTGGTTAATATTTCCTGTTGACTCACTCAAAATGCGCTCAATTCATCCACAAAAATTGATATTCAATAGAAGCACGGTGACCAATATCCTTGTGAAACTCAATAGAAAATGTCAATAGATGCTTAATTTAAACACGGTACATCCTATGGAAAAACATCAGTAATACACCACTCCCTTAAATTGTTTTAATTGACACTCGGTCTCGAGCTGTTGACTAATTTCTAATGACTCGCTCATAAGACACCCACTTCATTCGCAAAAATGATATTCAATAGAAACACGGTGTCTAATATTCTTGTGTAACTCAATAGAAACAGTCAATAGACGCTTAATTTAAACACAGTGGATTCTGTGAAGAAAAGTCAATTTAGCCTCAACAAAATCGTTATAGGCATTTTTGTACGAGATTGCATCATCATGAATAAAAATTATGCAAATGTTTTTAGCCATACGATTAAGGGCGTTCTTTTACATCGGAGCTCGTATACATAAATGACACGCGTTCTTGATTTTGCGGCTTCTGTCTACGTCTAGAATCCTCTAGCGTCCTTTAGGGTGCATCTCCATGCGTCCCCTAGAGCGCCACCTGGAGTGCACCTTAGCGTGCCCCAGGGTGGACAGGAGCTGCGCGTCCACTTCGTCTTTGCGGCATTTGCGAGAGTGAAAGAATCTATAAGCATTTAAAGCGCTTGGAGCTAAGGCTCTAACGAACAAGAACCTAAGGAAACCCACTGTTAATTAACAAGATTCGTTTGGAGTAGTAGTAGTGAACAACTTTATTAAGGCAGCTGACGGTTTCCTAAGTGGCGAGGGCTGTCAGGCCATGCTTGGTAGTCACCTCGTCAGCGCGATCGATGGCCAGGAGCTGGGTGTCTAGGCTTGTAGTCGTGAGTTTTCTACTAGATACAGTAAGTGCCATGACATTATAGATCTCACTCGTGCGCCCTGGCGTAGCTCTGCGTTACTCAGGGTCAAGGAGAAATCCTAAAGAACAGTGGGACGCAGCTTTACGCAGTCCGAAATCAGAGGGACAGTTGTGGGCAGTCCAACGGGCCCGCGAAGCGGCCGTAAAACTAGGTGAGGGAAACCATATACGCGGAAGCGTCCCGTAGCGTGACCTGTTGGAACTCAATCATTTTTTTTTTCATCCATCCATCCATCTATGGATGGATGGATGACAAAACAAAAACACTCGTTACTAGATGTTTCTTCATGTGATTTGAGTCTAGGTGTCGCGTTGGCACGGGATCTTTAGCAAATATAGGGTAAGCTGTTCTTTCCGAGAACGTTCGAGGAGTAGCACGTTTATGTAGAACAGCAACATGAGTGAATGCGGGAGTACGGTTGTCAGCTCCGCTGGTTGCGAACTTCCAGGGAGGGGCACGGTTCGAAGTTTTGATTGGAGGCTACGTGAAATGAATGACAGACGCTACAAGAGGAAACCGCGAATTTGTGTTGTCCACCCGCGTCGCATCTATGTAAACATGGTCCGTCGTAGAGCAACCAACTAATGACGTAGGTTTGCTGCAAGTGTCTCTGTAATTAATGACTCCAAAGGAAAGCTACTTGCCAATGAATCCCTATATATAAACAGCTGCCTTTAGTATTCTTGACGACGTATGTGCCTTTAGTATTCTTGACAACAAGTGGTTAGCGCCGAGCGCTGCGGATTGAGATGTCGCTCATTCGACGCCCTGCGACAGGACGTTTCCTTTTCATTTTTTTACCTTTGTGATTTGTTAGTACCTATTTTACGGCATAATATCCACGACAGAAATTCGTCAGCGGAGATGTGGTAGACACTGCCATGAAAGATTTTCGTCTTAAAAAATTCAATCCGGAGACGCTCCGCAATGGGAAAGCGAAAGCTTACTTCAGGTTTGGGTTGATGTGCTAAACTTTGATACTGACTCTTTGTTGAATGCTCTGATGGCAGTCTGTTGGAGTTTGTGAACAACTCAGCAGAATGTTACACTGGTAATAAACAGGCGGTCTGCCTGTACATGCCACCAAGTGGTGCGCCACCTACCATCGACCACAGAACTTGGCGGCAAACGGCTCCTCTTTGTTATTAACAGATATATTAATTTTCTCCTGCCATGCTGGATACTGTTAGTTTATTGTTCTCATGCAAAGCGCTTATCTTTGTTATGAGCGTCATTGTTCTACTTTGACAGCAGAATTGAAGCTAAGGTGTTGCCCTTTGAATGGTGTGCCGCAATTTGGTATTACTTCGTAAGAAAGGTTCCAAATTACAATAGTTGTGATGATAAACTATTCTCGTGATGGAGGTACGTAACCGCGGCTCTTGAGGTGCGCGATTCGTTAAAATAAATATGTTTGCCTCCAGTGGAAAAATAGTCAGGCCATCGATTAAGAGAAAAATGGTAGTAGATGAGTCTTGAACGGGACGCTGATGGTAATCACAACTGAATTAGAGGGAAATGTTGTGAAGAGGCTCTTGGCCACGCGTTCGCGCGATGTGTAAACGTTTGTGGTTCACGGTACACATCTTATATAGGATGCAGTTGCAGCATCTGCATGAAACACCCTCATTTAGTTCAATTCTCTTACTGCACAAGTTGGCGACCTGGAGAGTAAAAAAGAGTGTGTGACCATGAGATTGCCAACTATATCATTCACTAAAACATCAGCAGCATTTTGAATTATTACTGTCCCGTTCAAGGTGATAAACTTAGTAAAATAAAGCGCGATTGATGGGATAAGAAAGATGAGACAGACAGTTCAAAGCTTTCCGAACAAATGTGAATATTTATCGACAAGCATCACGGCAGCTAGGCACAATATGCGCATGAGCACAAGACATTTGATGCGAAGTAACAAAAAACAGCAGAGGTGAACGCGAGAGGAGGCATCAGCGAGAAGAAACGAGGTGAACTAACATGAGGCAATGAATTCGCAAGAATGACACAACATGAAATGTGGCCCAAAGGTACGCACTTGACTACGAAAACCAGGAATGAAGATATACAGGGTAAAGCTACAAGCTAAAAAACGCAAACAACCAGAAATAAGTAGAAAATCTGCCTAAATGTGGCTGCCGATGAATGAATAACACTTTCTCGTTAAAGAATGCGACTAAGTCGAGGCTCAATATCGACGGTCACGATAGGTATTAAACGTAGCGTACAGTGAGGCTCGTTGAAACTGAGTAGGCAGCAGGGCATTGCCATGGGCGTTGGCAGGGGTTGCAAAGGAGGCATCCCCCCCCCCCCCTCAAGCAACTGTCCCTGAAGTCCCAACAGCGCTCCCTCCGCGCTTGGTGCGATGCAACGAAAGTTTGGATTCCTCAAGCCCGAAGGCTGCCTACACGCATGGTCATAGCCAGAAGATTTTTTTTTTGGAGGGGGGGGGGGGTAACTTATAATCCAAGTGGGCATGAAAACAGCTATTGTGTGCGTGTGTGTGATTGTGTGTGTGTGTGTGTTTGTGTTTGCAGATGCAAAACTGAAACATTTCGAGGGCAAAAAAAGAAGGGGGGGGGGGGAAGGCGTTGGAACATCCAGGCCCGTTTGTGTCGTGTTTTGAGTACGCCAATTGTACACCAGCGGGGAGCACATAACACTTGAACCAGATTTAAGAGAAAGGCTCGTCCAACTTACAAGCAGTCGAAATTCCGTAGCCTGTATACAGCGGCCAAGGTAGCCACTGTAGATTGGTCTTTTGCGCCAATGCCCCGACACCCGACTTCCGCCTCCAGTTCCGCTCTGCCACCCACCGCTTCAACGTACGGTGCTTTCCGCAGGATGCCCCACCGAGTGGCTAAGGTGTGCCGCAGTTTTATCATTTTTCCTTTCAATACGCCAAGCGGCAGCAGTAATACGCCTTTCGTGCCCCATGTTCTGCCGTCATATGTTCGTAGTTGCGTCCGCTTTGACTTCCGATGCTTCCTGATGGAAACTCGCATAAGCTAGGCACTGCTCTACCGGGGACATCTGCTGTACACGTGCAGATCGCAGTTGCGAGCCACTGGGACGTTCACCCGGGTGTTAGCAGGCGGCAAACTTGCTCCGCAAAGGAAGGTTCTTAGCCCAAAGTTTATAGAGGTCTACTACATGACAAATCTCAAGAACTCACGGCTCCAAATCAGCGGTATTGTTACACGGATATACAATCTTCACAAAGGGATTTTCCCCGTGGGCAGTTAGTGCTACCTCTCGAAGACTTCATCTTTTCCGTTCTGGGGACTCCTCGAAAAGAAGAGGCGCAATGATACCGAGAACGACGACGCTTTTGTTCGCGCTGCTTGGACTGGCCTGTGCACAGTATGAAGAGGTGAGAAAATGAATGGATGTCACGTGTGTATTACGGAGCATGTGTAGTTGTTGAAGTGAAACTTCGTAGTTCATGAGTTAGAGCTCGTGAGCAATAGACCTGCAGGCAGAGCTCACGATGTCGCTAATCAAAGTACATTTAATCTTGAATTTATAAGCGCACGTCAGACAGAAAAAAAGAGCAACAACGACAACAATAAAAATGCATCATTCATGTCAAAGACAAATTTAACTTTGTTTTTTTCTTTCTTTTTTTTAAGTGAGGCGTGTATGGCAGGGTAATCAAATTGTATTGAACTATATCTCCAAGAAAGTTCACCTCTCACAGGACTTGTTTTTGCAAAATCGCGAGGCGTAACTTTCGTCGCTGTCTTGAGGGGCTTACATTTGAGCGGAAATGGACCGGGTGGATGCGGCATACTAGGCTTTTTTTATTCCCGCTCAAGTGCTTAATTCAGAAAGAGCGCTTACAGCATAATGGGACACTGATATTTTGTAATAGACTAAAAAGAAGCTTGTGTCAAGTAACAATAGTTGCTTGGTCCTTGGTTTCGATAATCTCAATCACGGGAATGAACGCTCAAAGTACTTTTCTAAGCAGTCGTTGTGGGCGACTTCCACAAGTCCAGGCGAGAATAATTGTTGCGTTCGCGAACCGTCAGTTTATATCTCGCGAAAGAAAGCCAGGGAGGGGGATTCCTGTTATTTCTTTATGATGTTCATGCGTGTGCTTTTATGTGCGTGCATATATGTAAACATGAAAAAAAAAGAGTGCAGTATCCCCCCTCCCCAGTTACCTCACTAATTAACTCCTCTCTGTGCAAGTAGATAATTCAAGAAAATTATGGTAGCGCTTTAAGTTGTCCTGACTGTGGTGGTTGTGCGCTGTCGATGTTGTATTGAATTGTGTGCTCACAACCACAATCGCGTCGCTAAGCAAATGTTTATTTTTTATTTTTGATGCGGACAAGCGATTTCTAATTAGGTCAGTAACCACCTAATTGTCCTTACTATTAAAATTAAATATCCTGCCCTGCTCACAACCTTTTAAATTTTGGCTTTTCATAATGTGGTTTCAATTTTATTCCGATATAGTCAATTGAGCATCTCGTTCCTGAGCAGCCAGAGGTGAACCAAGACATAAGAGAGAAATCCGAAATGGTAAGTGACTGAACCTTTCTTTATATACAAATGAAGTGTTAACGCTAAATATCAGGAAAATATACCTAACAAGACTGAAGAGATGACATAGGGAAACGTTCTATAGGTGATCTATATTCTCAGATAGCAGTGATGCGCAGGAAACATGCTATGATATTCGAAGCCACGGCCATCATACACTTGTACAATTATTTTTGTGTTTTTTTTTGTGTCCTCACAAAAAATGACGAGGATGTGTGCGGCTACTTCAAGCCGACTGTGCCTGTTTCACGATATGCTGTAAGTTGTATCACATATTAATTAGGTTGTGGTTTTGCATCCCAAACCACAATATGGCTATGCGAAATGCTGTAATGGAGGGTTCAGAAAATTTAGTCGCCCTGGAGTTCTCTAACATGCAACTAAATATCAGCACGTGGGCCTCAAGTACTGTCACCTACATCAAAAATGCGTTGCAACATTCGGTAGCGTGACCTGCGGATCAGTAGTCAACCACCACAAGCTCTGAACCACCAAGACGGGTAGGCCGGATGAGGTATTGAACCGAAATGGGCGTAGTGAACGAGTGAGTACGTAAACTGTACTTAAATACCCTGCACGTAAAAACTTTGGGGACCCTTAAGCTTCGCCTTTAGGAGTTGCACGTGTTAGCGATATTTTAGGGGCGAAACGTCTTATGGCGAGATCTGACTGGTTGTCAAGCGGCGTCGATACCCCGTAGTTCCACAGTGACGCATGCAAACTGCAGTTGGTTGACGATATGCTAGATGGCACTCTACGCATTGCATTTCTCGTCTCGTTTCCGAGAGGGCGCTGTTTCATACACATGCGTAAACATGTGCGTAAAGGCCCTTGATCGACATGCGTATAGTATGGTTGTTAATGGAAGGTACGCTAGATGGCGTTGGCGGTGCAGCTGCTCTTTGATTGGATGCTGCGTGGGTCGCACTGGGCTTCGCCGGCGCGCCCGTTATCTCTCATTCACCTGGATCGTCACCGTACACGAGTGCGCTTGCCGGATCGTGCTACTTGGCGCACCATGGACGACGAGGAGCGCTGGTTGCGGAAGGCCGCTGCGGCTCGTGCTCGTCGGTGGGATTCCGAGGAGCGAAAAGACGGACGGGTGGATGGACGCACGAACGGACGCACTGACGGATGCATGGACGGACGGATGAGCGCGTGGATATATGCACGGACGCACGCACGAACGGACGAACGCTCAGACGCTTTGTCCCACTCATCATAATTCACTCCGTGGATATGCTTTCATTTTACTGGTGCTAACATCAAACACCTCGTGTAGGAAATCTTTGCAAACCTGATATGCGCCTATTATGTGGCCTTAAGGGTGTAGTAGCGTGTGTGTTTTTTGTAGTGGGTATCTGGCTTCAAAATATGAAGTCATTATGCTAATCTCATGTTCTGATGCCCAATGGCAATGTACGCTTGTACCATGCTTTATTATGGCAATATTCCATGTGGTATTGCGAAATATGTATTGCGAAGCATGTTTCATGTTGTACTGTGACGCGTGTGTTTGTAGAGCATCAAAGTTATTTTCATTGTATTCACAAGCAGAGACAAGGCTGTGTGGTTGAACACTCGCTTGTCATGCAAGCGGCCCGGGTTCAACCCCACCCAGAACCAGAATTTTTTATAATTTTATTTGCATTATTTTCGATTTATTGGTCACGCAACGATGATGGTTTTTAGCTCACAGCCACCAATACCAACGCCGAAATTTCTACGAAACGAGCTCTTCAACGCCATCGCGTTAACATGATATTGACCCGTTATTTTATTATACCGCGACAATACAATCATTCCAGCGTAAAAACCCATGAACTGTCGTGCACGAAAAGCAACCAAATATTTTCACTATCTGTTCGACACAGAGAAGCTATCAGCTGTACAATCTGCGCTAAAGTGTATGTAGCCAATAGAGGGCAAAGCTATCACATTTTATTTCTTACAATTACAAATCTTTTCACGGCTGCTGAATTAGCTGCCCTGGGCGTTTCAAACAACTGCAGTACAAAATACAATGTAAACCGTTAGACTCGATCTTAGTTCTCTATTACGATACCTGACAGCATGCCTGAATAAACGGCTGCCGTGCACAGTCACATTAGGCATTGAATCGTTTCACGCGAGTTAGCTGACTTCACTATAGAATACATGCAGTGACGTGAACAGTGGCGCGTGAGAATATCAAAAGCTGGGGGACGCGTATGCTATATTGCTTATGTTAAATTGCATTTTTTATATATATCTACCACAAAGAACGTTTTAGTTTCCCTACTGCAAAACGCTCCGATCTACAAACTTCGTGGATAATGGGGACCTTAATTAAATTTGGGTAAAACTGTGCCCAAGCGTGTCGACTCCCCCCCCCCCCCCCCCAAACTTCTGACTGAGAAAATTGTATTATATAAGTTATCCAGCTTTGATGGAACCAACGTAACCTCAGTATAGTATAGCCTTTAGCCGAACCGCTGTTCCTCTCTCCGGTGTACCATCTGATCGACGAGGTAAGAAATGAGACGTACATGACAGTAAATTAATTGTAATCAATAAGGGGCATGAATCAAGTGTTTATGGGATTTTTTAAACCGATTCCTTGAGAACTAGATGTAGAGTCTTGGCGTAAACATATTTGAGCCGAAGCACTGCAGAAAGTATCAATAGTCAATAATTATTTTGCTATACTTTTATAAGTAACCTGTTTTAAGAGTGCAGTACAGCTTATAATTAGTGTTAGTAACTTTTCACCACGTTCCTTGAGAACTTTGTACTTATATATATTGAGCTAAGAAGCCAGATTGATCTACCGACAAAAAAGTCAAATTTGTCATCAATCATACATTAGTTAAAAAAAGCGGGATACTAGGGTTGCCCACATATTAAGAAGATAGACGTTGGACACGCAGCCATGCATGAAGATCTTAGCGTAAGCTAATGTCAGCCTGTACGAAAAGGGTTTCATACTTGAAGGGGGAAAAAGCAGCCTTTTGCGGTAACGCACAACAATTTTTCTGCATGAAGTTCTTCGAGAATCCTTGCGGCTATTAAGATCAAAACACAATCTACATTTGAAATTGGCACCTAATAACAGCGTCTTCACAGGTGTTTCAGTTTGGTTACTACAACAACTGTTGCACCGACGTTGATTCCTTCTGTTGTCGTGCTCAGTACCAGCAGATGCTGTACGAGGTTCCTAAGCTGGATGGTGGCCAGGCGATGTTCCAGGGCGACATGCTGATGACCGAGCGGGACCTGTTGGACATGTACGCCCTGGTGCCTTCGAGAAACATAACGTGGCCCGGGGGAATCGTTCCGTACAAAATAAGCGAGAGCTGTGAGTATTATATACGATGCCTCGAAAATGGAAAACCAATAAAGTAGTGGTAATTGAAAGAAACCTGGTACACGCTTCCCGGTTTACTGGAACCCGTCTGCCTTCTAGCTCATAAGCGTAATTAAGACGCTCATGTTTTGGTGCATTTAAGTTCCTTTTGCCATTTTCGGTCTCCATGTTTCCATTTTCGGTCTCCATGTTTTTCGATTTTCACTACATCAGCAAAAAACACTGAGAATGCGGCATATTTCAGCTCTTGTCGCAAAATGCATACCCATGATCGAGAAAGAAACTATCAATGAAGTACAAGTTCAAACATTACCGGTGTTACACTGGACACGTTATATATAGGACAAGTCCGGCTGCTTCCACGACTTTTTAACAACAAATACCTTGTGCTTGTATGCCGGCCTTTTGGTTCTGATAACAATAATAGGAATTGCTGGTGCTTTGTGTCCTAAAACCATATTACAAATATTAGAGACGCCATACTTCAGAAATGTCGAACACCTGGGATTCTTTAACGTTCACCTAAACCGAAGTTCGCGGCTCTTTAGCCTTTCCGCCTCCACCGAAAATGCGACCGCTGCAGCCAGAACCGAACCCGCAACCATTGGGTCAGCTGTCTAGCACCATAACTCCTAGACCACCATGGCGAGTTGTCTGTTTTTGGAAGCTTAGTAGTTGGTTGACTGAAAACCAAAAAGCATTCCGTACTTTCCAAGAGAGCAGCCCTGTGCCTTGCGAATGCCAGGAAAGAAGTGGCATAGCCAAGAGAAGGGGCTGTAGTGTCAAACTCTTTCCCTCCCCCACGAAAATTTTCGACTATATATACACACAGATATATAAGAACGCATAAATTAACATACGTAAACTATAGTTGTACTGTTTTCCTCACCCCCTTCAGAAAGTTTACGGTGCTGAAGCAAAGGTAAGAATATCACTTCTGTAGGCCAACATTTGTGATAGACTGTCAACGTACCGTAGTGTGCCGAAGAATCTCCGAATAGCCAATTAGATTTCGAATGGATGAATGTGACATCTTCTTTCATCCTTAAGTTACTAGTTTCCTATTGCCTTCATCGAAATTTCAACACCGTTTCTACGCAGCCGCTAATGAAGCGGACCTCATCCGGCAGGGTGTCGCACATTGGATGAACAACTCGTGCCTCATGTTTCGCGAACTTGAGAAGGACGACACAACGACAGACTTCATCCTTTTCATCAGGGGAGCAGGGTACGTTCATCACTGCTTTGCAGTATAGAGACAATACGAGAATTTATCACGCTTACCTTTATTTTTTCTGATAATAAAAAAAAGCAATACCAAGACTTCACGAAAATTTTTGTTTGTTAGTGTGTGGTGCTGCTTGGCTTTGACCCCAGTAACGCACAGGAAATGTAATTCGCGTTTGCTGATGTATACAATCGGAATGAAAAAAAAAGTATTTTAAAGGTTCTAGCCTAAGATATTTTGTGCGTGTTTGACTATGGGGCCAAGCATTGGTTAATTACCAACTACTCTAATTTGGACGCACAACTAAATTTAATTTTGAGCGTATCATATATAGTAAAACGACGACCTTGTTCTGAAATATTGCGTAACGAAACGAATGTTGACTTGAGCAACAAGAAGAGGACGTCGCAGCATATGAAAGATTACACGCGGAATTTTCATCTTATTGCCGAGTTCTGAAATCATTATTAGTTAAGTATAATGTCTTTAAAATTGCTCATTACTCGGTTATCTCACCGTAGGCAAACTTAGTAAGTCGTCCATACCTATTCAAAGTGCACGTCGACGCACTCCTGTCGGTTCTTGCGGTGCTGAGAAGTATGCACAGATACGCCTCCTATTTTTCTGCGTACCTAACAAGTTAGCTGGCACTGAGCTTTTTCGCTGAGTGTTCGGCAACCGTTTAACATAAATAATTTTTCTCGCTGTTGTTTTACAAATGAATGCAACTAGAGCGACATGCATTTTGCGTGTGGCTTCTCTTGATAACTTTACGGGCGCAGAGAGTAGCAAAGTTGAACGTTGCCAAGTTCATTTATTTGCCATGGTTCAAAGGCGCAAAGTGACCTTCACGTTCCCGTGACGAAGAGTGAGTGAAACGCGAGCTTTCGTGAGCGGCCAAACAGCTAGAATGCTCACCATAAACTGGACTCAGTTGACAATGAACTTTCGTCGTTGCATGATACCTTCACTGCCTATTAATTTACTTTGTGGCGACGAGGATGAGATGGTTCACGTGTTCTCTTTACATTAATGTAATTGACTTTTGCTCATAACACGCAAAAAATAGTAAGAAACGTTGAAAACCCTAGTTGTGGTATTGCCTACAAAAATTGTGGTTGTATATGAAGATAAAGGGCTTGTGCGCGGGGAACAAAAAAAAACATTCCGATCCCAAAGTTTGTAGAAAAAATCACTAAAGCAATCTGTGGCTCTGCCACTGTTCAGTTGCTACTAAAAATGTACGCTTTGCGTGCATTTATCTAACCGTAGTGAGCGTTGATTAGGAGATTACTGAAGTTTTACTGACTATGCTCTATCTGCCTTTACTAATTCAAGTTTTTGAATGCCTGATCCCGTACTTGTAAACAGAATAAGTAATATATCCCTCTTCGCGCCTGCATGCTCATAGCTAATCGTCGCTTGTGTATAACACTTAGTTTACAATTATTAATTAACCAAAACCGACAAATATAATTGATGATGAAAGGAACGAGTTTAGGTAAATCCATATGCTAAGCATCAACTCCAGGCAAACATTTTTTTTTATGTCTGGGGTTTCACATCTCTAAACCACAATATCATTATCAGGTACGCCATAGTGGAGGGCTCCAGAAATTTTGACCATCTAGTGTTCTTCAACATTCACTCACATCACACAGTACAAATTCCTTTACACTATCGCTTTCATCGAAATGCGACCGGCGCGGCTGGCATCGAACCCACGACCTTCCATGCAGTAGCTGACCCCCTTACTCACTGATCCAACGAGGTGGACAACTGCAGGCTTCCGTCTGTAGAAAACTGAATCTAATGTCACAGAGATATATCGCGAGTGATATATTGAGAGAAACTTCATTATTATCTTCAAGGCGTGTTGAGCGCAGATACGCGGTCTCTTCCTTACTATTAATTTATTTTTTGCAGCTGCTGGTCCCGGTTTGGGCACATCGGCTCCCTTCAGCCCATTTCCATTGGTTATAACTGTGAGACGGTGAGTGGACACAAATGCAATGTTGCTGATGGCGACGCAAGACAACACCTTGAGACATACACGAATGCAGTTTTTTTTCCTCGCAGCTGATTTGTCTCGCCTCATTTTTCTATTGCTTTAGTTTATTCGGAAGTCTTACATTGGAGTTTATTCAGCCCTTCTTAGCCACGAAAGCATCTGAGAGCGAGGTTCAATGCGGTGTTCGGGATGACCACCTTTACTGCACCTGCGCGTCCTGTTCACCTCTCTGTCCTCTTCTAGGCTTCCCCATCTCTCGCCTCACAACGTCGAGGCAGGCAGCATCCTCTAACGAGTTCTTTTATTGCAAAAACCAACTGCTCCCACTGCACAACCGTGCACTGGCCACACCATATTATAGGCATTGGATCTTGACTTCCACAGCAGTGCCGGTGGGGAATTTCTCCTGTGAGTTGCGGAACAATTAAAATTAGCCGCACGTGCGTCATCTAGAAGCAAACCGCGGGTCTCTGTGTCCAATCGGCGTCTTCTGTCTGTCATTGCTCATTAGCGGCTATTGGAATGTTACAGCAGAAAACAGCGGTATATGACTGCGTGCTTTTGCACTTTCCTATGTTTCTCTTCCGCGATGAGCGCCAGCGTCAACGCCGCCGCCAGTGTAAGCGTTAGCGCCCGTGGTTTTGAATCTCCACATGGTTCGGTTTAGCGGGAGATGTTGTCATGTATTAATATTATTCGGGCCTGAGATTAACTTGCTCGGCAGAATTTGTCAGACTTAGTAGTGGTGGTAAAAACTTTATTAAAGACTCCGGCAAATTCGTGGCCTGGGCTTAGGCAACCCGCGAGGAGGCCCAGAACCTGCCTCGCAGCCGCCTCACGGGCTTGCTGAATAGCCGCCTACAGTCGATCATTAATGTTCAAGATTCGCAACGCAGCCATCCACCGTGCCGCAGCTTCACCTGGGGAGACCGCATTTCATTCGCATATAACCACACATTCCCAGAGGTTGTGCCTAAGACGCATCCTTTTAAACGACAAAAGACCTGAGTACGTTGAGGTGACATGGGGAGTTCCACAAGGTTCTGTTTTGGGGGCACTTTTCTATTTAGTTTATATTACTTATATTTCAGTAGGGGCTTCACCACACATTAGATTGTTTGCAGATGGTTCTTTGTATATAGACAAGCAAATAGTGCCATTGACCTTACCCAAACTGCAAATTGATTGGTAATATGTTCAGAATTGGTGCTCCATGTGGAAAATGAACAGAAATAAAAAGTGTATCCACATTCCTTTGACGAGGGAGCAGGAACCAATGGCGACAGAGTATACTTTAAACAACGAGTGAGTGCAAGAGCAGTCGAATATAAATACATTGCTGTAGTTTTTTCGTCGAACTGCGCATGCACATGCGCACGTAGGCGATGTGGCTTGCAAAGCAGGAAGGGCGATAAATTTTACCCAACGCAATTTAAAAACTTCGGAAGTGAACTTTAATAGTACAGTTTATTTAACATCTCTTCGAGCCATAGTAGGCTATGCAAGTGCCGTATGAGATTCTGCGTAGGTCACGTTGATGAATATGAGAAAATTAGAAATCACGTGGCCTGGTTCATCCTAGAACAGTGAGAGAGGAGAGAGCTGCGCTCCAATGAAAAGTGAATTTTGGTGAGAGCTGCTTTCTTCGAGTGGGCAAAAACTGCGATTGAAGTTCTTTTTTAGATACATAACGGCCTAACAGCAATTAACAAAAAAAATACCTTAAGGAACCTTATTACTATTCACCTAGAACTGACCATGTTTTCAAAATAAGAAAATTGCTACCAGGATGAATCTATTCGCAAAATATTTTTTGTTAGAAACTTTAAATAATGAAATTGTTTTAAATGCAAATGTGTGGTAAATATGATGTAATGACCATGTACTTGCTCTAACTTCTCTTTTTTGACGCCTACAAGTAATACGGGGTTACATTTGAATACACAAGTAAAGAATAAATAAATCGTGAACACGCGAATAAATAAAAAAGCGTGAATAATGAAACAAAGCGCGAGTAAATAAAGCCTGAACCCAGTGGCATATTTTGACAGAATATAGATATTTTATTTGTGGTTCGTTCGACCTTATTTTATGTTTAGTAACAGTTATTCCTAATAGCTTTACTAAGTTAGTGTTCTTCATACATATTGCTTCTTTCGTATCACTTCTATAGTAATGTCAAGTAAACGTGGTCTTACCTCAGTGTCTCAAGAGGCAGCAAGTGTGGAAAAGTAGGGTTTAAACATCATCAATGGCAATAATGTTATTTGTAACCATAGATGTTACAGTACACGTTATTCCTGAATACTGTTCCTGATCATTTATTTAAGCACATGGAATTGTAAAATAACATTATCTGGTGTTTTACGTGATGAAACCAGGACGTGATTATAAGGTACGCCATAAAGTGGAGGACTCCTGAAGTTTTGAGCGTCTGTTGTTCTTCGCCGTGTGCCAACATTGCACCCTACATGGTGTATTTATTAGAGTATAAGCACTGGCACATATGGCGCGTTTTGTCTCCAAAACCAAGGAACAGCTTTCTTGAATGGCATGCATCGTATAGACACTCCGTGTTGTACAAGGCGCCAGCGCGAGCTAGTCCTTGAACGAACCGAACAAATTAGCACACGGAATGTCTGTCGCATAGATAGAGAAAAACTCAACCTCCACACTAACATAATTATGCTTGTGTGACATGCCGATTTTGTCCAACCACCGACGAGGTTCTGGACATAGAAGATCCCCACACGATGCAGTGAACTTTGCAAAAACTTTTATCTGAGAAGGCGAAAGTATCCGCCATGGCACAGTAAACTGAATAGGCCTCAGGCATTGACGCTCAGACTCCTGCAGGTCGAGGCATATGCCAATCCCGTACTCTTGCACAAAATTTACCCTGAAATTCAGACGTCACACACTTGCGCGCTTTGCTCAGACTTTGCCAGCTTAAATCATATGCTCTGGCGGTGCCCTGCGTTACGGGTTTAATGCGTTGCATCGTCAAAGTGGGATGCTGCGCTGCGCAGTACGGATTTAAGGACGCAGCTATGGGCAGTCCAATGGGCCCATGACGTGGCGGAGGGGTTAGGCACGTAGCGGGCCGCTCCCGCATCGGGGCAGATAGGCCCCGATGCGGGAGCGGCCCGCTACGTGCTAGTTCACACCCCGACGGACTTGAATAAAGTTTTTGCATACCATAACATACCATTTACATTGCTAAGTAGGATGCATATAATGGGTACGACAGGAGCGAAGAACCATGAAGTCTAGCGTAAAGCTACCTGCACTCTACTTAACCAGAAATGGCAATGATTAAGTGGGTTCTATTTGTGGTATAAAAACGAACGAGGAATAATGCGAGTTACGCATTTATACCAAGTACATTTTGTTTTCTTTTACTGCACCTTGTTGGCAGCTGGGGACAGTGGTGCACGAGATCGGGCATGCCATCGGGTTCGTGCACGAGCAGTCGCGCGCCGACCGCAACCGCTACGTGGTGGTCAACTACCCCAACATTGTGGAAGGACGGCGTAGTCAGTTCGACCCGGACCAGACCAAGCGGGAGTACGGAGCACGATACGACTACACCTCAGTCATGCACTACTCGCCAACGGTAAGACCCTTTCTAGAAACACACGAATAACGCTAAGACCAATGCACATGTTACAATAGAGCCTCTACATGAGTATTTGACCTATGTAACCGTTTTGGAATACTTACAAGGCGAAATTCTGCTGTGTGCCAAGAGTCGAAAAATCAGGTGAATCCAATTTTGATGAGGAGGATGCGAAAAAAAACTATCACAAAAAAAAAGAAAATCCAACATGGCGTTATTCCTGACGTCATATTGTGACGTCTTCATGCCGTAATCAAATGAAGAATATTGCGCCGCCATTTCATCACGTCATCACATGACATTACTGGTGACTCCAAAGTTAGTGCAATTCAAGGTGAGGCACACAAATCTGCAAGAGAGGGATGCAATGCAGTCAACTCAGTACATCAAAGTAACTTGAAGAGAGTCTCAGGTGTTCATGCACTTTTACCTGCACTTTCCCTAGCGTTTCCCTAATGTACTGTGAAGTTTTCACTGCAGCTTCCCAGGTCTAACATTTATCGACGACGGAGCCTGTAACCTGGCAGAGACGAGTTGTTTGTGTCCCGGCACACATTCAGAGAAAAAGTTTCGCATTTTCTTTCTGGCGCAGTGCCGTTAGTGAATGTGACGGCGTTACTTACTAAACCATTGTTGCTTTCGCAATGTAGGCACTTGTTCAACGGCACTAATTGCTGGGCATCGCGGCGCGTTTCGAGGTTAGGGCAGTCTGGGGTTAGAGATGTGGAATTGGACATTAAGCATGACCTAATGCCAAAACCCAACTACCGTGGTGCAGGCGTTCGCAGCATCGCCGGAAATGAAAACCCTGAGTCCAGTGAACCCGCTGCTTGCGCCGCTGATACGCAGGCAGAACGGACTGACGTTCCGCGACCGACGCAAGGCGAACTTCCTCTACCGGTGCGATGGTAAGCGAATAACCAGCGGTGGCACAGTCACTTGCAGACCTGTATCTCGCGCGAATGCAAGGATTTCACAGAATGCCCGTAAGTCTTGTAGTTTATATGGTACTGATCGCTGATTTGAGGGCTCTTTTGCAATAATACTGCTCTTGCTAACGTGCGCCGTCAGCGGCACAGAGTGGGCGGGCAAGCTATGATGCTCTTGGCCCATCATTCGATAACGCGAAGGTCATATAATACTTATTTCTGCGTATAGCCGCGTCCACGTATACGTGTATAGCGCGTAAGCAGGTAGCCTTGCTGTGGGGCGTGACACCTTGCGGCCGTTGCGTGCACTAACGTGGTGTGCCCAGGAGCACGTGGCCCATTAAACATGCTGGCCTGCTTCGCACAAGAGACTAGCGTTGAAAGGTGCTCTGTTTAACGAAAGAAACACGCTCCCTCAGGGTGCTTGCATCATCTCGATGATGTGCATTTCAGCCAAGACGCATGATCTTTTGGAATCGAGATGCCACAAGCGCCCCGAGGGAGCATGCTTCTTCGTTTAAACAAATGCACCTTTCAACGCTGCCATTTTTAAGCATGCCTAATAGGTGGCGCATGCTCCCAGGCCCTTCACGCCAGAGCCCGAAACCGCCGCAAGACACCGCGCCCCAGAGCGAGACCTACACTAATTAACGTTGCGCGCTACACACAAGACATAGATGGAGGTGTACACCCATCGAGAGCGTCATCGGAATTGCAAATAACGCGCAAACGTCCCTTCTCCCTGACTCATATTTAATCATTGTTGCTGTTTAACGTCCCAAGACCACGTCATGATTGCGAGGGACGCTGTAGGCTCTGGACATCAGGTGTTTAACGTGCGGCTAAATCAAAGTACACAAGCCTCAAGCACTTCCGGCACCATCTAAAATGCAGCCGCCACGGCCTTCAGGTCAGTAGTCAAGCGTCAAAACCACTTGACCGTTGTGGTGGGTTCTCTTTGTTCGACAACAGGGAGATCTAATAAGCGCAAGTTGTTCGTGCATGCCTGTGACACGTCGTGCTCATTTTGAGTGGCTATTCCTTATTCCTCCAACGGCCTTCTTATTTAATGTCATTGTAGCCGCATGCACGAGCAGACCCGTGTGTGCCAACGAAGGGTTCGTCGATCACACCTGCAAGTGCGTCTGCCCACCCAACACCGAGGGAGAGCGATGCGAGAGGTTGCGTCGTTCTTACTACTGTGAGTACGAGTTGGATAATAATAATAATAATAATAATAATAATAATAATAATAATAATAATAATATAATAATAATAATAATAATAATAATGAATTTCACAAATGAAGACAAGGTTTGAGTTCCGTAAGGTTGCCTGAAAGCTTCTCCTGAGGCAATTTTTTGAAGGCTCGGCAGACGAAAAAGCATTTTGTCTCAGCTCATGTGCCCCCTTGTTGTCACCGTGATGCGAAAAACGGTGACTCTCGTGTTTCTACAGTCACATTATACGCAGCTATAGCACAATTGAATGAACAAAATAATAAATATTTAAACAATCAATAAACAGTTGAATACCCTGCCAATCAAACAATAAGTTATCCAACGTGGGAGGCACAGAGGGGGAAGCTAATCAAGTGGTCGCGTCGATTTGCTCGCAGCTCGACCCAACTGCGGTGGCCGTGTGATTCGCGAGAAAACGATTAGCTCTCCCGGTTACCCGAGAAGCCAGAGACCACAGGATGGCGTCTGCGTATGGTGGATACAAGTAAGTTAACAACCCGAATCTCGCTCTCACAATGGCACTGAACTGAAGCGCGAGCTAAATATTATTGAAAACAGCGTTGCTAGCGAGCCTTCACGACCGCCGGTGATGTACGCTCCCCATTCGGTCATTCTAGCGACGCAGGCGGCGCCACGCGGCTTTCCTCCGAACCTGGCACACGGTGTTAAATCTGCGACGCAGTTCGGTCTCGCGCTGATTCGTTTTCATTCCAACATCCATGCGTCTATTTAGTGAGAGAAAGTGTGGTCTGCAGCGAAACTAGAGGGCCTGACGAGCTTTGCTGCCTGGGAGGCGCACTTCAGCTATGTCTCGACCGCCAATTTCGACCTACCGTCGCGCCGCCTATAGTCGCTGGAATGATCAAATAAGCGTTGCATGGGAATTCTGTTGCCACGATATTTATTCCAATGCATCCTCGTGGCTGCAAACCGCAAAAACACTTAAGAACAAAGCTATTCAATACTATAGGGTGTTCGAAAAACTTAATCTGAGTATTCAGCGCACTAGATTTTGAATCGCCGTACTTTAGGTGCCTTAGAGTGTAGACGCTTCATGAGATCACATTTCATAATGGATGTGTGGCATCATGACGGCATCGAAAGTGGAAAAATCCTTGAACAACGGGTCTCACAGGAACCGAATTTTCAACAACTGCTCTTCTCCACTTCAAGGCAGTTGCTGCCTCGAAAAAGAGAGGAACGATTGTGAAAATGTTGGCTTCAGTGAGACTACTCGCTGTTTGGATAATGAAAAGGTGCGTTATGCAGTAGATAGATAGGCAGTCCACTGGACAGAATCTTGTCGACTTCCGTGTACTTCTATTGTTTTTAGATGGGGGAGGGGAAGGGAGGGTCCTTTCGGCATCGCCGTTCTTTGCAATGCAATATGGGCTCAAGTAAAAGAAAGTGTGTCGTGGAAGTGCTCACTAGAAGGCATCCTCCGTTGTAACTTAGCGGCCAAGCTGTCGCGCTCCTAGCCTTGACGACGGGGAATCGACCCCGGGGCAGGGCGTACACATTTTAATAGAGATTAAATGCAAAAAACCATTCTATTTAGGCGCATGTGAAGGAGCCGAGGTCATGGTCTAAATTTCTTGTGTGCCCCTCAGAACAGCGTGTCTCTCTGTCATAAAAAGTTACTCTTAGCACGTAAAGCATCACAGTTAAGCTTTCTGTCACAACAATATCTCTATGACGCAAAACAAGGAAATATGTCGAACTGCGTAGTTGAACAATGTTAAAGCAAATTGATCTTTCACTGAAGTGATCTTAAACACAGTATTAGGCCGGTGAATGCACTTATGTTTGCAATACGTGCCTAATAAGTGCAGAAATCGTAGGCTCACTGTAGGTCGATGAGCAAGCGAGCCTAACGACATGTGGTTTTTCAACGCGAAATCGCATGTAGGGTGGATAATGTTTGTTGAAGTCATAAAGCATGAACATGCCATGCTTTTCCGTGTGTAACATGGCCTAAACAACTGTGAAAAATGGCTGTGAGAAACATAGTCACCACGACCTTATACACTCGCAGGCTCCACCAAACAACAAGGTTCAACTGACGTTCCGGGCCTTCGACCTGTACAGCCGAGTCCGCAAGTTGTGCATCTACGATCGTTTCGAAATCCGATTGCAGTCACTCTACCTCGGACAAACGTGAGTATACGGGCAGACGGTACGCTACTTTGTGAAAACAAAATGAAACAACATTCCTAGAACTCATTTCGGAACCAGTATATAGCTTTGCTGGTGTTCACGGGGCAATCGGCGCAAGATCTCGAAATCTCCGTTATTCAAGTTAGAATGTTCGAATACTCACACACCTCTAGTGCACACCAATAGTTTCACTACCCGTAATGTTTTTTTACGTTTTCAGACGGAGTAATAAATGACGATGCTTCGCATTTTAGTAATAAACAATCGCCGTTATCTACGCAGTTCTGAAAAGGTTGTTCTGAATTGCTTAGCGTCTCAGTTTTCAAAGTGAGGCCTCCACGATCAATTCCGAGAGCGTGCAGTGCGGAACCCATCGCTGTCGGCGCGTTTACAACGACGAAATTCGTGCACTAAACGTGCTCACTTTCGCATTTTACTGACCGAAATTTTTGCATAGCTTCTCGAGCATTTCATCTGAAGTATGAAACAGAGTAAAGTTCTAGTGAAATCACCCAACTACATCTCTTAGTTTTTTTTAACATTAAAATAATATTATTCTGCACGTCTGCAGGTTCTGCAGCGACGAAATCAAGCCTGGCAACGTCGTCACTTCAGTGGGTCGGAACGTGGTCATCGAGTACAGGCCATACACCACATTCAAGCGTGGTTTTTCGGCTGAAGTCAAGTTCGTTCCCGTTGAGACAAGACAGCAGTAACAAATACCACCGCAAGATGCGCAAAGTTCACGCTACTCACAAACCCGAGCCAAAACAGCCCTGGCGACGAGCAGATTGACCTTAAAGTTCAATTACGTCGGCGAAAACTGTAATAGGAGAACAACTAGTTATTTTCTGCTAGCAATTATTGGTGGCTCTTGTACACGAGAACCTGTGCAAGGTAGCTTTGTAGCTTTCGATCAGTAGATTTCACCCGGCTCAACACTTCTGATTTCCCCGTAAAAGACGCACAGCTGTGCCCTCATCGTTGCCCACCTTGGTGTTAACGTCATCAGTGCAGACCTGGTCGTCAACGTTAACATCCTATTCATAGATTCACGTGAGATCATGCAGCAGATAAACGGATACTCCTTCCAATTCCATTGATTTCTTTCATCATCATTTAGTAGGGATAAATCCTTTAGAAATGCTAGCCATGCACAGAGCTTGAAACTATGCTACATTTTTCTCAAGGATCCGCGCCACACCATATACGAAGGCATTTTGTATCCTACAGTAGGTCTAAAATTGTTTTGCGTAATATCTCTACATTACTTATGAGAAATACACCCCATACGTACTACCTAAAACAATGTCTGCGAAATCCAAACGGTAGACAGTTTGCCCAAAATGTGTGCATTTCTTAGTTTTTCAAACAATAACTTAAAAGGCGGTTGGGCAACAGGCAATACTAACCTAAAAGCACGCCATCGTCGTCATATACAGCCCCGCATTTTTTCTTTTTCAAACACAATGTTCCGGTATAAATAAACAGAAAAGTGCCATCTGCTCGCCTACGTGGGACAATGAGTTCTTTGAGTCATCGGAGAGCCTTCAGGACACTTGAAGCGCGCAGCGAAATCGGCGGTGTGCCTCAACGGAACGTTCACGCCACCTGACGTACCGAGGCCTCGCGGCAGCGTAACAACACACATGGCACTCGCCCACTCCAGATAAAAGAGCCGACCTTCGGATATGGGCGCGTTCGCTGCTAGAAGAACCTCTCGCTTCCACCTGAGTGGGTCCGCAGCTTCGACAACGGTTCCGAGCGCCGCTGCCCACTCGGCCAACCCGTCGTACTCGTCGGACGCGGCATGGGGAAAATAAGCGCGCCTGAAGCATTCACGGAATGCTGTGGTGGCGTTCTGTGCCGTCTCGTTGAAACGGGCATCCATTCGTTCAAAGAGCATCGACCAAAGTTCTTTCGCCATGCGAGCTGCCAAGACTGGCAAGTCCATGACGTGCGATTCGCGTTTCCAGAAGATGATGTCCGCGTAGGCTTCGGCGTACACGAAGATCTTCGAACCGCTTCGTGTCACGTGGGGTGACGACACAGCACTCTGGGTCTCACGAAGCTTTCGCGCCGTGCGCAGCCGGGCTATCTCGAAGTTGTAAGACCGTGCGTGAAGCAGGTTCCAGGAGAAAGAGAAAGTCATTCTAGGCGGGGGCTGGTCGATGACTCCAAGGACGTCGGGCAACTCTAGCGAGACATCGTTCAGAAAGATCGCCGCGGAGCTTGCGTCATCTTTCGAGGTGAACGAAGGGTTGGATAACGTTTGCGTCGTTAGTGTCTCCCTCACACGCGCAAACAGATTCTGTAAGTACATCTCAATCACAGGGCTACTGACCACCTGCGCTCTGAATGCTTCCTCCAGGAACGGGATCTTCAGCATATTTGCGAAACACTCTCGCCTGTCTCTTATTACGTCATACATCGTGTAACTTAGCAACTGACCGTATAACTCAATGACGGTGTGTTGGATTACGAAAGCTCCACCCACAGAAGCGTCAGCCGCTAGACGCCCCAGCGCTTTGTCAATATCGTTCCCTTTCCGACGCTTTAACACTTGGACTCTGGGAAAGATTGGTCGCATAAGGTCATCCAACACGGCATTCCACCCAGCCGGATCAACGCCCTTGAACGGCGCTACGTTCGTTATGTTGACCCGTTCTAGGTCGGCTGGATTTTCATCGTCGGAATACTGAGGTAGTGGCAGTTCGATGTTCTGAAGTCTAGGCAGCGTCTCGTTGCTGTCGGAGCCATTGTTTAGCGTTCTCACAACAGCGACTACGCAGATGGTACAAAGGTCCATTCTTTCCTGCACTGAGACACCTTGCCATCTCACCGTGAGCTCGGAAACGTCACTCGCGGAACTTAGGTTACCTTTGGTAAAAGACAAAGCTGCTGGTGCGTTGAACCTGAATTCCATCAGGGCCATAAACTGGAAGATGCTCGTGAGGTTTTGAAGAGGCGTTCCGGAGCGAGAGAGGTTGGCGGCGGCAACGATAGCCCTGGTGAACTCGGGCAGCGCTTGCTGGGGCCTCCAGTCTTGCGTGGCGCAGCTGCGCCCCAGAAGCCACAGTGTGATGCCGATGGACGTGTTGGCCATGTCCGGTAGGTTTTCGACGAGAGCCCACTCTATCTCGAGGCTTCGAAGACCGGGTGACTTCCGCGACGTATCGCCAACATGAGGGCCTTTCAAGCATACGAAGTCGTAGAAGCTGCCGCAAGGATCGACGCTGGTGTTGAGGTCGTCAAGCAGAAGCCTCGCCTCGTCGACGCAGCAGAAGTCGGACATGCCGACAAGCTTCTCCCCTCGCCTTCTGAAGACCAGTTGCAGGACAACGAGAATGACGAAGAGTAGGCCGAATACCAGTACAGCCCCTAAGATAAAGGTGTCGCTCCGCTTTTTCACGAAGTGCGTGCTTTTCTCGCTAAAGTTTTCCTGCGAGTTAGCCGGAAGAACGTTCATGCCAGCTCGATTTGCCTGCTGACAGTTGGTTGCGTGGGCAAACCCACTACAACTACGCAGATGCAGATACTTTAATTGTTGGCTCTCATTCGCTCTGGGAAACCTATAGAGGGTCAGATAACAAAAATGAAAGCATTCGTGTGTAGCAAAAAGTTACGATTTACTATAAACGGAATGGTGTCCGAATGGGAAAAAGACTGCGCCGTATAATTGCGCAAAATCGTGATATTAGAGCAGTTATTTTGTGCTTCATGAAAATACATGCAATTTTACTTCATTCTTTTGTGATGTTAATAAGAATTTTTAACTTTTGCTTTGAAATGGCCATTCCTAGTAATTATTTTGTTTTGAAGTATGAGCAACGTTTACGTTTCGTTTTGTTTACTGTTTCTTCGCTAATGGCGCGTTCCCGACTTGCGATTCAAGCTATGATTTTAGTTGCAGTAGAAGAAATCTAATTCATCTAATATTGTAGCATATGTGATGCAGTGAGGAAAAAATGCAAGGACAGCTATGATACTGCCTAATTATAATTCTGAGCGCAGCTGTATGGCTGTTTTAATTCTAAGATGATTAGAGGCAGACATATTGATAGAGAGTTGCGTACCACGCCGCGAGTAGCGTGACTGTCGCGGACATTTTCGTGCAGCCGATTCCACACTTATTGACACACTGAGCATAGCGCGATCGGGTCGCAAACCGAGAAGCTGAAGAAGACAGCGCCTATGCGAGTTTCACTGCATCCGCCGCAAACTGGCCTCCGTTGATGCTGCGCTTTATTTTCATATCAGGCGTTTTTTTTTTATAAAATAGCCAAATGCACTCTACATGAAACTGAGAAAAACGCACTTCTTTTTTCACTGACGATATGGTTGGGCCTACTCAAACAACTTTTTTGCTGTATGTTCCTCTCCCATAAATACCACAAATCTATATTCTGTCTATAATATACATAGACAAATACCGTCAATATTGTGGAGTAAAGTTTGTATTTGGCTCATATCGAATGAAACACTTCATTTGGTCATGAATTATCTCGCAAAATAGGTGTGAAACGGTTCGAATGAAGGTTATAGCTATATTTTGCGATAGAATTGACATCATACTTGTGCTTCCGCCGGTGAAGTGCTTCGACGCATAGGCGTAATGGCGCATACTAGACTTGAAAAGCGAGTGGTCCTTCGCGGCAATAGGAGCACTATTCTGGACTATCATCAATGTTTTCTTATTTCTGGCATCTATTGAAGGCATTGAAAAGTGTTCCAGTTAGTTTTATGCCATGCCATTGCTCACCACTTCTTCCTTAGGAAATAAATAGACGCCCAATATCTTTATTTCATGCCTATTTTACTTCAAATATATTGTGTTGGAGTGAACGGAGGCCAAGATACTGTTGCGCTAAAGTCGAAAAGAATCACAAGATACAAAAAGAAGTAGGCATGCCAGCCTCTTACTTTTTACATTAGAGTTTTGTCATCCAACACCATGTCCTTAAGTAAATGCCAACTAGCACTAGAAACCCTAATTCTGGAACATAAACACGATAACAAAACAACTAAGACACAAATGAAACATTTTGGGTGGGACCATATTGCTTGTTTTTATCATATTTGTTGGCCCAATGCTGGTTTGTAGAATATGGCTCACTTTGATTGAAACAGTTGGAGTACTTGGCTCATTTTTTATTAGAAACTGCCTTTTTGAGCTCATGTTACAATGAGGACTTACCGCATTTTGGTTATAACTGTTCTATAAACTGAAGATACTTAGGCGTGCTTTACGTTCCAGAGAAATTTAGCCTAGCTTCGGTTTCCGCATTTGGCTGTTTTAGGAAAAAAAGAAATGCTTCATATATGAAATCAGTGCGCGCCCTCGCCGCATACCTCGGTGTTGATGTCATTAGCGACCGTATGACGGCGCACGCACAACTGTGATGCTACAGTTACTGTATATGCTACATAAAGGTAGCATACACAGTAACTCTATGTGGTGCCGCGGGTGGCCGTCGCGGAACCTGTCGTCTCACCACTGCCGTTTCTTTCTCTCGCCACTCTGGCTACCCCTTTTCGCTGTCACCGCCATTCACCGTATACGCTGCGCCTCGCTCTCTTTCGCCCGCGTTCTCATTGCCGGTGTATTCTAATTATGTGGATAATGACCCACTAATATGGCTAGTTCCTCCTGTAGTGTTACTGCTTCGTCTAATCCCACGAAAGACTGCATATATCCGACGCGAATTCAGGCTCCGAAACCGAAATTCTGTGGATGCCACTTTCCATTTACATGTTTATGCGGGTCGATGCGACGTACAGTTTGCCATCAGTTGTGGTATCGCACAACCAGGATGGACCATCACAAAAAAAAAAGAAATACCGGGCCTGACGAACAAATGTTGAAGTGGGTGCTAGCTGGTAGAACTTTGTTATAACAGCAGTAAAAAGAACTGCAGAAAAGCAAAGAAGCTTACTGGAAAAGCGATGCGCATCATTCGAACAACTTTCAGTAAAATGCCAAAAACAAAAACTTTAATTAAACATATTTGACACAGACCAGCCTGGCTGGGTAAAATTATACTAATAAACAAAAATGAAACATAAACTTTGAAAAAGCAGCAAATGCTACTAAGTGAGCGTACGATTGGTGGAACCCTCCTCAAGAATGGTAAGCGATCTATTGAATGAGTGGTACTTGAACGCAGATAGCACAGATAGCCTGTTGCTTCTTACGATAAGGTTACACATCCGTTGCCCGCTGATCTGCAAGTCGGAACAACAGCGTGGTATCATGGCAGCCGCAACGCAGCCACATGAGTTCAGTGCATCGAAAGACGAGTCGAAGGCGCGTACAGAGCTCGTCCTGTAAGCTTTTTTTTTTTTGTCGCGTCTTTTTTTTTTGCGATTGTATTATCAACTAGTTAGTGAAGCCACCAAGCTGAAGGGTTCTACGCTATAGGTGCACGGCCATTCTCGAAGCCCGTCACTAAAAAACACCTTTTCTAGAAACAACCATATTACTCAACTGGCTACACGGAATCCTATCAACTGAAGCACAGCACAAAGGTACAGCCGCCCATACTTTTAACCTGAACGTGCGAGCATTGACAACCCAGTCTATAAGCGGCGTTTGACGGAGCCCAGCGGCAAAATAAGCGCAAATACCTGCATGCCTGCGATGAACAGTCCACTGCATCTGTCTTCTGCGAGGCTGATCCAGGAACCAGATGCCAGGACGGACGCAATAGGGGCTTACAAACTCGGCAGTTGAGGCTCGCGCATGTAGGTTTAAAAAAAAAATGGGCGGCTGTACTTCAGCATCCCCAGCACTACGCCCATTCTGACAGCACCTCGGACCAGGAAACCGCGACCACGTAGATGCCGCGTTCGCCTTTAATGCATACGCAGGTCAGTTTAAATTCTGCAAGTCCTTATCGAGTCAACGATGAGTGCTTATCAGCGCTTCCGTGGCCCTTCAATTAAGAGAAGCGTTTTCGTGATTGTATTGTTCCTTAATGACGCATATTGTTGCTTGGGGGTGATGGAAAGGCAAATCTGGGTCTCAAAAGAAAAAGAAATTCGGCAGATCTCACTCACATACTTTGGTAATCGATCATATGCGAAGCATGTGGATAGAAGGTGACTGTGTTGTATATTTTTTTTATTTTGCGCTACGTTACCAACTGGCGATAAAGATACGTACAAATGCACGAAAAAACTTACGTAAACAAATGCATATGTTTTATATACCCAGTGATTTACAGATGCGTAAAGATGCCGACAACAACATGTGTATTAGTAGAGAGAGAAAGAGAGAGAGAAAACTTTATTTGCGCATAACGCGGAGCATTCCAAATGGTCGGGCCCCTATTCCAGGGCTCCGCTGGCTCTAGCCATCATTTCAACCCGTTGGAGCAGCCAGCGCTGATCAACAATGGCCAAGCTGGACAGCAGCGCCTCCCATTGTTCCTCTGTGTTGTTCATGTTGTGGTGTTCTTCATTGTGATGCGTACACTCCCACGTGATGTGAAACAGAGTTGGTGTGGCCCCACACCACGGACATATATGTTTGTATGCTGTGGGGTAATGTATATTAGTAACATCAGATGGGGTAAGCTCACTTGAAGCACTGGTGCTCGCGAGGATGGTAGCCCTGGACACTTCTACATAAATCCATTTCAGCGGATGGCGCTTAACTCTGAATTGACGCTAACCCAACCTGACGGCTGTATTATACCTGTACGTATGTAAAGTTTATAAAATTGAATAGCCACTACTGCATTTACAATTGCGGTTTCACGAATAGTAATGTATATTTGAAAAGTAGTTTCAAAAGTTGGCGTGCTATAGAATACTTGAAATTCCACGCATATTGCTTAGTATCGATTCCTGCTGGGCTTACTACATTCATGCTGTGCATTGGTTGGTTCAAAATGGGCAATGTAGGTTTTTCTTAGCGCTCTCGCATTTAATTTAACAATGACTGGTCTGGTGGATATAAACTGTCAAACACTTGTGGCACATTGTCGCATACCTGTGGCACTTATCTGCCCGCGGGTATACGCGCCACACGTCTGGCGGAATGGACTTGACGACATATCCAACTGGATGTGCCATTATTTATGTCATGACCAGCCAGTCATACTCGTCAAACCATCTTACTTTCCCATGGTAAGTTTGGTTCACCCCAAGTTAAGGGGGTGAACGAACACGTATGCGTATAGATAGATAGATAGATAGATAGATAGATAGATAGATAGATAGATAGATAGATAGATAGATAGATAGATAGATAGATAGATAGATAGATAGATAGATAGATAGATAGATAGATAGATAGATAGATAGATAGATAGATAGATAGATAGATAGATAGATAGATAGATAGATAGATAGATAGATAGATAGATAGACGGACAGACGGACGGACGGACGGACGGACGGATAAAATGCATGGATGGGCGGATGAATGGACGGACGGATGGACGTCGAAATTTCCGGGGCCCTCATCTACGGCTTCTCTATAAGCATGGGGTGGTTTTAGGACGTTAAACCCCACATATGCTGAAATTACCGCCAGTTAGATTCTATTACGCAGATTTTGGAGTCCTGTGAACTGGAATCACTTGAGGCACGAAGACGAAAGAACTGGTTGAAAGCTCTTTTCAGGATACTGCAAGGACAACTGAAAATTAACGAAGATTTGTACCTAAAAGTGCCAGGGAAACGAAGCAGTGGGGTTAATCACGACTGTATTTTAGTACTGTACTCTTGTCGGATAGATGTGTTTTGTTATTTTTTTAAGCTGCGATCGAGCTTTGGAATGCGTTGCCAGGCATTGTAGTAAATGCAAGCGATCTTTGCCAAGTCCCGAAAATTGTTGGACATGTATTTGAGTGATAGAGCTGCCAGATTAAAAGCCTGCTGGTTTCCTTGCTTTGAATTTCTTCGTTTTCTTTCTCTCAGCTACGTTTAAGCCTTGTGATGCGTAGCCAAGTGTTGCTGTTATTGCAGGTAGTGTTTGCTGATTTGATTAAGTGTTACATATGTATTAATTGATTGCGCTACCACCTCACATAGAATGCATATTGGTTGGTTTGTAGTTGGTTGTACCCTGCCGGTAAGAGCCCTAATGAGAGGGCTGACAGTATTATGAAATAAAATTAAATAAAATGAATAAAATATCAATCAATAGTGCGTCGTAATTTCATTATAGGTGGCGGGCGCCTGGGCTCGTGGGCCTTCCCTCCAAAGACTCGCCTTCGTCGAGCCCGGTGCCGGCGCGGTCGGAGAGTGCGCTCGCGGCTGCATGAGCTCATGCTACAGCAGTAATCATCTGGAGAGAGCGATAGATAGGGAGACAAATCTTTATTTTTGTCCTTGCTGGGGTCGAGAAGTGGGGCCAGGAAACCAGTCCTATATACCGGAGCACCCCTGCCCCAGCAGGCGGATAAACTTCCCGTATTGGTGGCGTCTGCAGACAGCCGGTCTGCCCAGAGTTGCTCATCTCAGAACACACTGAGCAGCATGGCATCCCACAGCTCGGGCGTTATCCTAAGCGTAGTTTGTGTTTAATGGCGTGTGTCAGTGCCGGGCAGCCCCGTGACTGTAGCGAGACGGCCCGCAATATTTGCGTTGTGGTGAATAAACGTCTCTATATATTCGACTACACAGTGTGGGTGTGTGGGGAATTTTCGTGACAGTTATTAACCACCATGTTGACAACCGGTGCTTATTTCTAGCAACTTGTCAAAGGATGAGTACTTCAATGATGCCCTACGGTAAAGCATATGAACTTTTTTTACATGTGACCATTCTGTTCTTCACGCGGTCGCACCAGGACTCGACTTCCTCGTCCTCAGCCAGCTGTACTCGTCGAGAGCGTATACCTACTCTGATGATGAGTGGCGCGCCTGGTGTACGCTTTGTCGGACAGCGCTGTGAGCAGCTTTTGTACTCGACAAGGCCCGAATGGCGCGGAACCCAGAGTGCGTGAACTTCGTGGCGACGAGATGTGGATGTGATTTCGAGTATGCGGTTCGCTAGCGGTGAGATGAGGCCACTCGTGAAGTTGCGGATAGCTGTCTCGCAGTAGGATTGGAGGGGGTAAACTCTGTAGGGCTGCGGTTGGCATACAAGTGCAGGCTGCTTGTTGTGAGAATGTTGAGAAGCTGGAACCTAAAGTTCATATACCGAAGAATGGCGCCTATTCTCCAATTGTACATCTACTGCACAAAATGTGCATGCTAGGGATATTATCGATAGGTGCAGTTAAGGGACGCGATAACAGAATAAAATGCAATCTCGTTACACGGGTGTCGTGGTGCGTTATCTTTTTACCGAAGTCATTTATGGATGTGTTACGTAAAAGCGCCCTATTAGGTATAGCATCAACGCTATATGTTTTCTTACCGTTAGGGACACCTTAATTTATTTCCGCTTGGGGTCGAGTGTAGGATTACAACCTCCAATACGCCAAGTTTCACTTCTGCGTATGTAGCCATGGGCTGCCTTCTACATTGGACGTATTTTCGGAAAGAGAGTTTGCAAAAATCGGGAAGTCACGATTCCCAACATTATTAGGAATAGCTTGTAGGCAGAAGTTCTCACAGATCACGGTTGCAGCATATACATGAAACGCCTGTTCATTTATTATAACTTTGCCATTACTCAACAAGATGGCAGTGTCAATAAATATCGTGTTCAGCTTCAGGAGCACTAGCTTTATTAATTAGTAAAACAAACAGAAGCATTCATAATTAATAGCACGACCCATGGTTGCCATTGACGATAAGCAGGAGGAGGAGATGTTGAGGAGAAGAAAAGATGCTAATTCTGCATGCAGACCCAGCTGGGAGCACGGCTCAGCAGAACGTAATATATAAAGTCAGTTGATAAAACTGGGCGACAGATAGCATTTTAACTAGTTTTAACTAAGAAGACAAGCCTTATTTGCAGGAAGTGGAAATTACGCAATGCTTAAAGCGATCAAAGAGGCCACCGGGGCTTGTTGTTTTGCGCCTGCGCCACGACGAAAGCCTTCCGTGTCCACTTCCGCTCTCACCACCGCTTCCTTGCACGACGCTTTCCGCAGGATTCCCCACCGAGTATTTATACTACGTTTCTTCATAAAGTGCAACTCTGCGGAAGCTATTCCAGAAGCTTGTTTAGCAAGACATGGGACAACACGAGTCCTGCGTTTGCCTTTCATCGTTGTACACGTTCGCGCGAGTCGAACACGAATGCGTGCGCATAGCATCACAACAGGCTACAAATAACCCTAAGAAGCAAAAGCAAATACACGCTATGTGATTCAGAGCAACTTAGTGGCAGCTGTATAGGCTTCCAAACGGCGTCCAGTAGCGCCACGGCTCTTATCGTAACGCGGCGCCCCTGTATCGGTACAACACTGCAGCCGCTGTTACCGCACACGCGCAGAGCCATCTGATGTGGTGCGTCACAATGTAACTATTACCTACTAAGAATGGACAATGCCGAATGAAAGCGCATGCCCGTACGCCGTACGCGTCCTTCTTCCTCCGCTTCTGAATCCCGCGACACACCGTTTTCGCGGACAGCGTATATCCGCAGTAACGAATTGCTCGGCCACGTGGGCGTCACACCCCAATCGAGCATAGCGCCGTCCACTGCTGACCATAGGGAGCTGCGTTGCTCGCCCTGGCCCGTCTAAAGTTCGATGACTTTGGCCGTTATAGGCACGCAGAAAAGAAAGACGCGTAATACTACAATCAGCTCAATCATGCTAGGAGGAAGACCCATACATCACACTCCATTTTTACCGGCCTCGTTCCAATGGTGATTTGACATTGGAAGCAGCTCATGGCGGAGTTCCATTCGGTGTTGTGCAGCGTGACCACCTTTACTGCGCATGCGCAGCATCTGGCCTCAGCAATGCCACAACAGGCTCACGCGCCGGTGCGTTCCACCCTGCGTAAGGTGCTGGGTAAGACGCTGTGGTCTCCCTCTCCTACACTCTCTCAGTAGTCACGTGATGGCGGTGGGTAACAAAATTCAGCAATAGAGGCAAATTGCCCTTTTTACTGGCTGTCGAGTCCAGTAGTCTCTACAGTGTTGCATCATGTAACTGCTGAAACAGAGTATCGTCAGAACGCACTGACAGGTGCTAAAGCATTCTGGCACGCGCTAGCACGTGCGCAAGTGCCTTTCCTTTCCCCCTTACACTCTTTCCGTAATCACGCGATGGCATGGAGGACGCGATTAGGCAGACGCGCGGTGAGCCAACGTGTTCTCGCGTGATGTGTCGACGGACCCGCGTGCTCCAACAAGAGTTCAGGACGAGTAACAGCAACAGAAACAACAGTGAATTCAGGGTGTGCTCCACCTGCAAGGGCGCGCTACATCGGGCAAGGTGCCCACGATGAACAGAAATCTACCCAAGCACTGCTTTGCATTCTTGTGATGGTCCCCTTTAGTGAGTAAAGGTGTAATTTCATTTGCTAGGCTGTGCGTTCTGGCGCTGCAGTTACACCGGAAAACTCGACTGCAAGGTGCCTATAAGAGGACCTGTTTATCTTCGAAGTAAAAAAGAAAAAAAGTGAAGATATACCGGGTAATTAAATCATTGTGCTATTTTTTTGTTTCAATAAGTCTATTGCCGGAAGTGTGCCTAGACTTCAAAGGGTTGAACTTGATGCATGAAACGGAGTATACGTCGCCGTTTTATCACTTCCCTCTCGAGATGTCGCACTACAGCAGTAACTCCCCCTTATCGCCCCCGTGTTTGCGGTCGTACTCTCGTGGTTCCGTCCACTTCGACTCAACGCTTCCTGCTGGAAACACATATAAGCTCGGCATCGTTTTACTGGGGTACTGGCACACTACACATGCGGAACGCAGCTTTAAGCCACTGAAACGTTCACCCAGTCTGCAGCAGGCGGAAAGCCTGCCCCGTGTAAGGAAGTTCCATGAGCCGAAATTTCTAGTTATGCATGCCATCTGTTAACGACTTACGGCGGGGCACCTGTGGAAACTGTTGCACTGACTCATCGTTGGGACTAAGAGCGTTCTTCGGCAGATCATTCATTCATTCCGTGCTGGTGGCTTCCGCAAAGGACGTGACTGCAGGTGAACGGCACCAACTGCTGGAAAAGTTTCCTCAGGCGCAATGATACCGGGACGAACAACGCTTTTTCTTGCAATACTTGGACTGACATGTGCGCAGTATGAAGAGGTAAGAAACTCAATGTGCATCACACGTAGAACCTTAATTTATCGTCATTGTCGACTACCATGCAGCTCACGACTGTTAGTCTCGCACTCACTGGATAATATCGAAGTCTATGCCTGATAAAAAACAAAGAAAGTTGACGTTACCACTGTTTGTTCTTGCACAGTGGGGCAAATTTGGTAAGGTGACTAAATCAAAATCAACGAAACCTTGAGAAGAACTCTCGAGGTTTATCACCACGCACTTAAATCAGCGTTGCCCTTAGGGGCCTACATTTATCGAGTAGTCATATACGTGGATGAGATATACATACGCTTTTCATTCATGCACAAGTGCTGAATGAAGTGCACCTACAGTAGTAAGAAAGAATTAGGTTTTGGGGCTAAATTTTCTAACAAGCACCTTTTGTCGAGTATGAACTGTTGATTGAATGTTTATTGTAATCTCGCCCACTCAAATGCCATTCGAAGTTTTTTTTTTTTGTAAGTACTTGTTTGTGGAGACAGCCAAAAGCCAAGGCGAGTGTAGCAATTGAGTTCGCAGTGGGCCGCTTTCTGTGGTTCAATACAAAATGGCTACTGTGTTAACGAATATTACACGTAACGTTCAGTATACTGCTTCCTGTCGAGCTACCTTCGGCAATTTACCTTTCCCGTTTTTGTTTTGATCCCTGCGGCTGTAACAGCGGTTTTTTTCATCAGCAGCTGTCTATTTTCCTTGGTGCCGACGAGCAGTTTTAGGTTATGTCAATATCTATTTAGCTTCGTAAAGGTATCAGTATAATGCTGCGTTCACGCCACCTTCTGCTCCAGATTGTGATTTCACTTTTCTCCCGATACAGTCAATTGAGCATCTCGTCTCTGGTCAGCCTGAGGTGGTTCAAGAACAAAAAGAGAAATCTGAAATGGTAAGTTGCTGAATCATTATATATATATATATATATATATATATATATATATATATATATATATATATATATATATATATATATATATATATATATATATATATATATATATATATATATATATATATATATATATATATATGCACCGGTTTTTAAATATAGGTGCCGGTGAAGGGTACACGACAAGATAGATGAGATAAAGTGATAAAAAATTGGCAGATCCTACGTACAGTGGAAATCGACGATATGCGAAGCACGAATGAGGAAGGTTGATATGTCACCTTAAAATCCCGACAACGTTACGAGGTGGAGATAAATTATGCCATACACGACATCCGTGCCATGAGTCTCATGTTTGGGTGTGTCGTTTACCCTCGTAATCTACTTACGTCACGTGATGCCAAATTTATTATATGTCAAGCTACTGAAATGGCCGCGAGCACGGTATAAACGTGGCAAGTTGTCATGTTCTTGCATGACACGCATGTCATGATTATCATGTCTGAACTAGTCATATACCTTCGTCATCCATTCACGCCACGTAACACCAAATTTGGTATTTGTGGAGCTAGCGCAACGGCCGCGAGTGCATCATTAAGGGCCCAATATACTCCAACGTGACGTCGACGCGCGCGCATGCTGGGCACAGCGACGCTCTACGTCAGCAAATCGCGATATCTCTATAAACTCACGCCAGGCGCTACCAGCATCCACCTGCGCGGTTCGATAACAACCGGCGCGAAATTCGACATGCTGGATTTCGCGCCATTGCGTTACCCAGACAGCACTGCGTCTGCCTCTTTCGTGACGGAGGGACGCCTGAAGCACCGAAACGCGCACGCGTCAAAGCAACGCAGCGCGGAGCGCGCCTGCGAGTATATGGCAAGACCGGCGCCTGGCATGGCAACGCCGGGCGTGACGCGACGAAACGAACGCCGGCGCACATGCGCACCCTGTCACGTCGAGGTGTATTGGCGCCTTGACTCTGGCATGTGGTCATGTTGTCACATGACACGCATATTATGACTGTCATGTTTGCGCGAGTCACACACCTTTGTCAGCTATTGACGTCACGTAATTCAACATACGTCTAGCTAACAAAACGGCCGCGAGTGCATCATGAGTGTGGCATGTATTCATGTTGTTACATGACACGCATCTCATGTTTATCATGTTTGCACCAACTTCATTCCTTCCTCATCCATTCGCGTCCCATAATACAAAATATGGTGTAAATGAAGCTGGCGAAACAGCCACCAGCGCATCATGAGAGTGGCATGTAGTCATGTTGTTACATTACACGCATCTCATGATTATTATGTTTGCACTAGTCACATACCTTCGTCATTCATTCACGTACTACAATACCAAATTTTGTACATGTGACGCTAGCGAAATGACCATGAGCGCATCATGAGCATGGTATGTAGTCTTGTTGTTACATGACACACGTCATAATATTTATGTTAGGGTCTGTCGCTTGTGTTCGGCATGCAATCATGTCATAGCATACCAGTATTGCAACATGTCATGTGAACGAAACCACCGCAAGAGCAGCAAGATCATGAAATGTAAATCATAACATACATGTCATGATTTTTATGTTATGTCTAGTCAAATATGCTCGTCATAGAGTCATGCTATGCCATACCAAGTTTGGTATTGATACCATTATCCAAATGGCCAGCAGAGCTAAAAGTCATAGGTGGATAGATAGATAGATAGATAGATAGATAGATAGATAGATAGACAGATAGATAGATAGATAGATAGATAGATAGATAGATAGATAGATAGATAGATAGATAGATAGATAGATAGATAGATAGATAGACAGATAGATAGATATATAGATAGATAGATAGATAGATAGATAGATAGATAGATAGATAGATAGATAGATAGATAGATAGATAGATAGATAGATAGATAGATAGATAGATAGATAGATAGATAGATAGATAGATAGATAGATAGATAGATAGATAGATAGATAGATAGGTGTCTACTGCACGTGTGCTTGGTATACTGTCGACGTAAGGACACTACAGTCCGTAAAAAAAAATAAAGAGGGACGGTCTGTGAAAAATATTCCGCGAAAATTAGCGACCTTCTGCGGTAATGTGCCGCAAACCTATGCCACAACATTGCAAAAAGGGTACTGACGCGAATCTAGTTGAAACAAAAGATTCGCTTACGTTGGTAACTAGGACGTGTAATATCATCCTCACCAGTCTTCTCTTTTTTCTTACTACAGCTACCGTCATTATAATAATTGTAGAGGTTTTATTTTCTTCACCTTCACTGACATGTTGGGATAGAGGTTTTTCTCTTCAACTATAGAAGCCTGGAATTCGGTGTGCGGAGTGCTCGTTCACTACCACACCAGAATTTCTTGAAGCCTGTTCATGAATGTTGATCTGTTGTTGTTGTTGTTGTTGTTGTTGTTGTTGTTGTTGTTGTTGTTGTTGTTGTTGTTGTTGTTGTTGTTGTTGTTGTTGTTGTTGTTGTTGTTGTTGTTGTTGTTGTTCTTTCACACTCCTGCTATACTCTCATTGGGGCTGCAGAATCTAAAAAGAAAATAAATAAAACCTTGGTATGAATATGAGGGACACAATAGTGGAAGGCTTTGTAAATTTCAAGCTTCTGGTGTACGTAAATCGAGGTAGTCGGGCCTCTAGCATTTGCGTTCATCGAAACGAGGCCGTCATGGCCGGGACCATATTCTGCGACCTTCGGTTAAGTAGTCGAATACCACAGCCACTATACTACAATGGCGGGTCAGAAACCACGTTTGCGTGGCTCGGCATAGTAATCTCGTTCAAATTGGTTACTTTGTCATGCACAGTTTGAACGAATGTGGCAAGATGTTCAGAAGATGGATGGCGGCAAGGCTATGTTCCAGGGCGATATGATGATGACCAAGAGCGACCTGATGGACATGTATGCCATGAGCCCCACTAAGAACGAAACCTGGCCCGGAGGCATGGTACCGTACAAGATTCATGAGAGCTGTGAGTAGTGCTGGTGCGACCCGTAGGACGGAACACCAAAAATATAGTGCTGATTGATGAATGCATGGCATAAATCTGCCCGCTGACTCTAATCACTGTTCGCTTGCCTGTTCATAAATGAAAGAAATACGCACATGTCTTCAGGCCATTCAAGTTCTTTCTCGTGATTCTCCGTCTTAGTGTTTCCGAATAAAATTCCAGTTATATTAAACAACTAAAAAATTGTAAAAAAAACCCTAGAAATTTTGTATTTTTCACTTCATGCTAAACAAATGGCTCTCCAAATTCTAGAAGGAAAGTGTAAATCATGTTAGCAGCCCGAATTCGAGCATTACAGACACTACACTACACACGCAAAGTGACCTGTCATGGACCTCGAACAGTTTATTACCTCAAGCGCATCTATAGAGCACACATATCTTGTTTACGTACACCTACGCTTCACATTACAGAAGCTTAGAGGGACTGTCTAAAGTTTGTAATTTTTTCTAATTATGGCACAATTGAGAACATTGTTCATCACATCAGAGGAAACGAGCATGCTTTTGTATCATAAAAAAGAAAATAAAACTATAACTTGATGTTGAAAGTCAAGAAATAAATACCGCTAGCATCACCCAACAGCGATGTGGTCAATGTACTGGTAGGACAACAAATCTTCACAGGTGGACTTGTTTCACTTAAAAACAAACATCTATAACTTCAAATTGCATTTTGAGCACTTGAGGCTGCTTTATGTCGCGCCAGCGACCTTTTTTTGCTTTTTTTCTTTCTCACGCGTTCAAAAGATTCAGTGGCACTGCCGGTGATGTGCTCACTTGCCTGCATGGCGTATGACGCCGCTCATAACAACAACAATAAAGCGTGTGCATGGCTTAAACGACCAGAAAGGTATTTGATTTTTAATAAACAAAATTTGATGAAGCCTGCAAAAACCGAACGTGGTTTCAGTTTTTGACATTCACTTGCAGTACAATTCTCATCGGCTCCACTGATCAGAGTTGTGGGGATTCATCCCACCGATGAATGGAGACCGAACGAGGATAGAAAAATCGTTTTTAAAATATCTACACTCTTTCCAGAAACAACACAGAAGTATTAGACACTTCAGATGGTACGCTTTTTATTGCGACACAAAACAGAAAAGCAGTGAATAACGGCAGACAGTTCCTTTAAGAGTTTATTGACTGCCACCCAACAAGCGATCTAGAAACTTCTAGGATGATAGCACAATAATATCAGAGAGGTATATGGCGGCGTCTTTAGTTTGCGAATATCTATAGGACTTACTGAGTCAGTCTAGTGGGTAGCATTGAAGAAGCCGAAGGTTAGAAATTGAATTTTGTGCGACTGAGGTATGTCCTTTAACTTTTATACGTCTCTGACTTACAATTTTGCGATTTGCGTTAATTGATTTGTCGCTGACCTTTCTGTGCAGTGTCCGACGAGGCGCACCTGATTCGGCAGGGCATTGCACATTGGATGAAAAATACGTGTCTTGTGTTCCGCGAGCTCGAGAAGGATGATATAACCACAGACTACATCCTTTTCTTCAAGGGTGAAGGGTACGTGCACGACTGTTTTACATGATACAAAAAGTATACCTCACATTCACATTTATCGTTTAACACGAAAGCGTTTTATGCCGGAGTCCACCAAGACTTCAGGGACGTATTAAATGCGAAGCATTTCTTAGTGAACTTCGGCGACTTTGAGCGAATTTATCTATCTATCTATCTATCTATCTATCTATCTATCTATCTATCTATCTATCTATCTATCTATCTATCTATCTATCTATCTATCTATCTATCTATCTATCTATCTATCTATCTATCTATCTATCTATCTATCTATCTGTCTGTCTGTCTGTCTGTCTGTCTGTCTGTCTGTCTGTCTGTCTATCTATCTATCTATCTATCTATCTATCTATCTATCTATCTATCTATCTATCTATCTATCTATCTATCTATCTATCTATCTATCTATCTATCTATCTATCTATCTATCTATCTAGCCACCTACGACTTTCAGCTCTCCTGGCTGTTTCGAGAATGGTATCGATACCAAACTTGGTATAGCATAACATGACTGTATGAAGAAGATATTCGACTGGTCATAACATGAAAATCGTCACGTGTATGTCATGATTTGCATTTGATAGCCCGGCAGATCTTGCAGTGGTTTCGTTCACATGGCATGTCTCAAAACTGGTATTTTATGGCAAGACTGCATGGCGAACACAAGCGACAGACCCTAACATGAAAATCATGACATGCGTGACATGTAACAACATGACTACATGCCACGCTCTTAATGCGCTCGCAGCCGTTTCGCGAGCTCAACATATACCAAATTTGGTGTAACGTTATATCAATGGATGACGAAATATATGACTGGTGCAAACATGTTAATCCTGACACACGTGTCATGTAAGAACATGACAACATACCACACTCATAGCGTGCTCATGGCCGTTTCGCTAGCTCCACATACACTAAATTTGGTATCACGTGACATGAATAGATGATGAAGGTGAACGACACATTCAAACATGATAATCATGACACGGAAGTTGTGTACGGCATCATTTACCTGCTTCTCGTAACGTTGTGCTGTATTTAAAGTGACATATCAACATTTCTCATCCGTGCTTCACATGTCATCGATTCCCTTTGTACGTGGGATCTTCGAATTTCTTTTTCCGTGCGGTAAAATGAGCATTATCAGAAGACAAAAGTTCCATCAACGGGAATAGACCTCTCCCTGTTTGTAAACAGTGTGACGTCATTGCGAGCACACCGTGCACCATGCCCTCTCTCGGAGCAGGTGACGGTTGGCAAGAAAGTTCCTCTGGTGACATCTCTCTGCATAGCGGAGCTGTGTGTCTGCATTCATTCGACAGACATTTCTACATTGCTATGTTCTGAAGTCGTAGCTTTGAAAGAAGGGCGTCACGGAAGGGTCACTGCTCAAATTTTCTCGTCGTAGTTGGATGGACGGAGAAACTTTGTTTAGCGCACGGAGAGACGCTACTAGCACGCAGTTGGTTTCACCTACGTAGATGGCAGCCATAAAAAAATCTGATCTTTTTCGAAAGCGAAGGTTTTGAATACACATGGGGTTTGACACTTTGAGAAATATTTGCATGGCATGAATGTAAATTTATTCAACTTCCATCGTGGCACGTTCAATGTAGTTTTAAACGAGGTACAGCATTGGCGGCAGCATGGTTTCGAGCTGCTGTGCGCGACGTCATGGATAAGATTGTCACTCATTGCCGAAAAATCTCATCGGAGATGAATTAAAAAAAGAAACACTTTTTGAGATGAGTCAACCTGAGGTTAAAATATCCACATGAAAATCAAAGTGAAGTTTGGCCGCTCCGTTTCTCAATAACCCAGTAAAATACCATGCGATGTAAAACCCGACATCTTAATAATATATATTATTATCTGGCACAGTTACCTTGTTGAATTTGACACTTATAACGAGTTTTTCTACCTTTATTGCTCTTTTAAGCCTGATACACACTTATAATGCAAAATGTCACTTCATAAGAATCGCGCCGTAAAAGTACAAAGTAGATAAGAAACGAAAATCTCCGCTTTTTCCATCAACACGTATCAGGTATCCGATAATACGAGTCATAGCCATGGTGAAGCATCTATGCAGATTCAGCAACGCTACAAGATGCTTATAGCTCATGCGTAATCGTATATATCATCCGCAGATCATGCACCTTTATTTTTCTGCACGCCGCGCACACGCTGAGAAGTACCCACTCGCATATGATCGCGTCAAATGTATTTTTACCTTCGCTTCAATGTGAAATCGTAAAGTTTCATGAACAACCGGTTACTGAAGCCAGCCCACGACGAATACCAGTGTTTTCGCAAACAGGATGCATCGCATTATTCACACTGCATACGCCACGCACAATATTCCCAGTTTCACCGTCCGTAAAGGTGGACCAATATTGCCGATGCCTTTCAACGCACACTACACGCCACAGTCAACACTGCACATTTTCGAAGACGAAGTTGTTGTTCCTCGCACAGGCCGCCACGTGTGTTCACTTCTTCGAAATAGGCCAGCTACCCAAGAAAGAAGACTATATTTTACTCTTTTTTTCTGCTGCGATAATACGGGACATGCTTTTCTAAAAAGTACAGTACTCCTGCTGGTTTTTTATATTCGTGACACTTGTTGGCAAAAAACACATATAATGGCAAAATGTTCGTCGAAGAACCACGCGAACAGACCTAATGTAGTGTGGAAGAAAAATACAACAACTAGGCGTCGCACAATGCGAGTTGCGTAACGACTAAAGGATTCCCGCCCATTAAAAGTGGCTCAGCTGTAATTCTTTATCGTCTTACTAAAATTTGTTAGGCTATAGTTGGTTCAAGCCCCTTCTTGCAACAGAGTTTATTTTAGAATAAAGAGCTATTTTTAAAAGCATACAGACATATTACACTTAGAAGAAGCAAGAACACTGCAGCACGAGAACTTTTGGAGGCGTATTTTATCATGCAAGAAAGAAAAAAATGTAGGAAAAAGACTCCGGCGCGCGAAATCGAACGTGGAATCACCGCGTCGTGAATGCGAGGTGTTAACCACTGAGCCACCGAAGGGGGTTTCTTTTTTCTTTATTGCTGAGCCACCGAAGGGTACCTCCTTGCAAGTTCCAACGGCTAGCTATTTATATCTACCACTTACCGCTATTGGTGGGCATCTCGGTGGGTGGGGAACTATCGTGTTTTCAGCATTGTCAACAAGATGGCGCAATAAGCGCGCGGCGGCTCTCATCTCTTATGCGTTCTTTGGCCCGCGGAGATGAGGGGAGTGGACGATTTCTCGCGCGCCCTTATCACCCGGCGGGGAGGATCATACGTCTTGGCTGGCGTTGGGCTTGCACTGGAGCGATTGTGTTGTAGTTACGGGGCACACAAAGATCACTGCGATCGTTGCACATCCTTGGTTTGCGAAAAGGGCGCGCTTTTCAGACACAGTGAAGTAAACGACTGAGACGTTTTTTGGCGTTATAGCGTTATTCTGTGTCTTTAAGTACGTTTCGTGTGTCCTTTATGCGTGAGAAACGCGGGGAACGTTTCTATCTGTTTGCTATTCTGCGCGTGACCTTCCAATTAGTTGCTATCGCGTTCGCTGCTTCCCCTTTGCGGCAAATCTATGACTTTCGGTTTCTTTCAAATAAAGTCGGTGCAAGTTGACGCTCTATACTGTCCTCCTTCCGTTTTTCATCAACGTGGGTTGCGTCCGTTACCCTCCTTGTTCATCGTCATCTGCCAAAGCATTAACAGCGCACACACAATGCCTTACAGATCTAGTGCGGGTTCCTCACTTCTCCGCGGAATGCTGGATAGTGGCTCAGTGGCACTTCCCCGGTCAGCAAAATTATGGTGAGCTATGGCACAGGGAGTGCCTTGAAACCATTTAACAGTCACTACAGGACAGTTTACAACAGACTCTAGAGAGACCATTTGTCCAGCTTTCACTGTAACTGTGCTGCGTGTTTCACGCGGGCGTAGCGAATTTTTTCCGCGCTATCATTTAACAGTCTTAAGTGACTTGAACGAGATGCATTTAGTATGTTTGTCCGTTTGGTCACTTTACGGTACTGGCTCAGTAAATTACTTTTACGTAGTCAGCCTCATCCATTCGCTACGGTTCATAAGCGTAGCAGTGACCTTCACGCTCCCTTGAGTCAAGATTGAATCAAGGGACGGTTTTATGGCTCAAAAAGCAGTTAAAAAGCTAGCCATAAAATTAATTCATTGAAGAACAAGTTTCAGGATTGCACAGGTTTTTTTGCTTATTTTTCTTTTTGGTGCGGCGACAATGGTGGAAGCGCCATTTCGTTATTTCATCTTGAATTTTATTCTGCCTTGCTGAGAAGACCTATGAAGATAATAACGAGGCTGAAAATCCTTGTTCTTTTGATGTCTAAGAGGGGCGGTTATATATATAATTAAAGCGCTAGTACGCGCCACAAAGATAAAAAAAAACACTCACTACTAACTTTACTGGACGTTTTCGAGGGCAATCTGTACTGCTGCCACTGTTTAGTTGCCACTGTAAATCGGTTTTCGCATAAATGTATCTTGTAGTATTGCGTGCTTATTCAGCCATTGATGATATTATATTGCCTACACTCTTTCTGAATTCTCTAATTCAAGTTTACGTAGCGAAGCACCCTAGTGTTCGGCTTGTCGGCGTCTAATGCGGTCACGGAGTGTCGTGTAGTCACAGTCCATCATAAAGTTGTCATAATGTTATCATCGCGAGATGACGCCATCCTACTATAACATCATGACGGCGCAAGGTTGACAAAATTAGTGACGTAATCATGACGTGATCATGACGTGGCGATGCACTTTAGCGTTCAGCTTGTCGGCGTCTAATGTCATCGCGGTTCATCATAAAAAACTAGTATGTGCACAAAAGTCTGGTAAATATGGCTACTAGTCACTTGTCCACAGAAAATCAAAAGGTGATAGCCAAACAAAGAGTAGGGCTGAAACAGCATTCCCTACCTGTCGTAGGTAACTGAAGCCGGGCATGCAGCAAAAATAAAAATAGTATATAAACACAACCTGAGTGTAAGCTGTTTTCACGCGCAGTTTTCCGAACACGTTAGCGGATCTGAAATACCCTTCCCTGAAATGCTTCGCTTCTGGCCAGTTTTTTTATTTTTTTTACCCAATATTCATGCATATACGTGCCATTGTTGTGGTTCACGAACATGTTGACGCACACGTAGCGTAATAGCTTCTTGACAATTATCTCTTAACCAGTATCAACCGAATCACTTCAGCCTAGAAGGATTAATTCAAGGGAAATCGATTTAGTACCGGCTGGCTGAACCACCACGATTCCTCCACTGATGAAATTCAATATCATAGTCACTGGATCCATACTAGTAACCCACGAGTGGCATTTTGAGAAAATTTCCTTGCCGCCTTGCAAGTGTGTTGAACGCACTACGTGACGTTAGGACCTGTTCTATACTCTTCACTTATTCGGCGTAGGTGCTGGTCCCGGTTCGGCTACAGAGGATCTGTCCAGGAGATATCTATTGGGGAGGGCTGTGAGAAGGTAAGTGGACTTAGCCGATGATGGCGCAAGGAAATACCTTTCACCCCCTCTCTTCCTCTTTCTCAGTTGTCACTATATAGTTTACCGTTTTGTAAAGCTAAAAACATTGCAGAAATGACTTTGGAGAATGTAAAACACTTTGATTCTATCCGAACTCAGAAAGCGATGTCAGCGTTCTCAAAAGTGAACAAAACTAGCAATGTTGGCAAAAAAGATGCGTCAGTGGCCGCAAGGCTTCATAATATGCTGAGCGAACTCGGTGACGTCATCTTCACTATGCCACGTTATATGCAACAGCCGCAGTGCTAAAGCATGGCCTTCGTGATTAACTCCAGCAACAGCCCGTCACGAGGTAGTCACAAAGGTTGAAGATACGAGAGACGCTCGTTTAGCACTCGGCCGTTTGTTGTTGTTCCCGATATCGTAATCCAGCTGCAGTACTGTGAACTTCGGTATACACGCTAGAGCTTCCGTTAACGCTCTCACAGTTCGGGTCTCTGAGCCGCGGAAAGAATTCATTGGATAGCAGTAGGACTTCTTCCAAAAAAAAAAACAAAGATGACGTAGGTTTGCGTGCCCGTGCACACTTTCAGCGCGCTCCCGCAGTCGGAGCAACACGAACTTATCTTTGGCGTATTCTAAAGCTCCGGCTACAACGATTGCAGACAAGATTACGACTTCGGGGACAATAGTCTGTCTTTGCTAACCATGGACTTTGGTAACCACAAGCGTTTCCCCTTTCCCCCATTCCAAGTGTAGGGTAGCCAATAGAGGCAAGCTTGGTTAACTTCGCTGCCATTCCTCTCCATATGCCTCTTTTTTTATGCTTCGCTTTATTGTAGCCCCTAAACCACCCAGAGGTCAAAGTTCAGTTGTGGCGTTGCAGTTGTGCGCTAACCTTCAGCAAACACGCAGCCGTGATGAATTTTCAAAACGGTGCCGTAATGTCGAAGTTGCAAGCGTTCGATGACATAAAACGAGCCCTCGCTCGTTTCGCTTTCTTCGTCGGCTCGTCTCTTCTGCTTACCGAGTGTTTCTGCTCACCTTGCGAGAAGGATGAGTAGCGAGCGTGCGTAAATACGGGCACACAAGCAATATTGTTGACGGTTGATATGTAGTTTGCGCTTGTCCTTCTCTCGTGTTTTTTTTTTTTTTTTTCGCGCCATAAGCCACGTTAAGAATGAACCAACTCGCCCAACAAGTTACGCTGCTCAAGTATTGTGAGATAACAGCAGAAAAAGATGAAGATACGAAATGAAGTACACACGACAAGCGCTCAAGAGGTACGCGATCAGATAAAGTACACAAGATCAGCGCCTCGCATGTGTACTTCCTCTCACGTCTCTGTCTTTTTGCGCTGCTTAGCTATGAATTTGGACCACCTAGACAAGTTTTCCAAACTATTGAAGTATTGCGAATCACGCGATGACGTCGCGGCACACATTAAGAGATGTCGGTCACCGAAAGACACTAGACAGTTTTAGCGAGTTACCAAAGTATAGTAGGCAAATATGGTACTGTACTACCATACCACTCCTCATTTCCCATTCGTTGATCTTTACCAGCGAAGGCACCTTTAACAGCGAAAGTTCTGCCAAGAATTACTGTGGGGTAGCCAATCGTCATTGTGACCTGTCAGTCCATGCATTGTTAAAGGAGCCCTGCAACACTTTTTCAACATGGTCAAAAAACACGGCCGATCGGTAGTAAAGGCTCCCGAGAACATGCGAGCCAAATGTTATAGAGCAGCACACGGCCTGGATATAACAAAAAATTATCAAAGTTAGCTAAAATTGCTTACCCTTCCCTCGTCAAGTGACGGCAGATGCTCAAAAATTAGATTGCCCATCTGTCAGCCAATGGCTGATTTGAACATGGCGCGCTGGGTTGTTACCGAGATCACCGCGAGAGGCCGTCGCTTGTGGTGCGTGATCGCATTGAGAATGCCGCGTATTCGAAGAAAAAAAAAGAAAAAAAGCGCCCAAGGTCACTAGGCGCACGTGACGTTTTTGGTTTGTCCCTCACATTCCTCTTTGCTTAGCTTCCAGCGCTTTCGTCGGGACGAAAGAAAAGAGAATGCGATTGCAGCCTGTGACAAATCTTTGTAACTCCAGTCGTACTGGACAGATTTTTAAAATTTTTGTGGCGGTAAAATTGTGAGGCAATACGCTTTTTCAATGAAGTAATTTTATGGTTACCCAAAAAAGTGTTTCAGGGCCCCTTTAAAGATAGACCTGTCGTCTGGGGGACGCACTGACCTTGGAGAGGGAGGAGGAGTCCTACGGTGCAGCCTCAGTATATTTGCGTGCCGTTTTTCCGTTACTTGCTAAAAGACCCTTCGCGGAAGGGAAGAAATTGTTTCTTAAGGCCTGACCACACTTGCGCGTTGCAGCGTGTCAGCGCGCGCGTGGTTTTCTTGACGTGGTGCCGCGTCCTTTTGATGCGAAGAGAGAAGGTGTGTGGCTACGCAACGCCGACTAAATTTCAAGGCCGAAAGGCTGCCGCAGTGACGTCAGAGGGTGGGGGCCCAGTTACACCGCGAACGCGGCGGAAAGCCTGTGTTTCGTTCACGTTTTAGGAGAACGAACGCTCCCGCTCTCGCAGCTGCTGCGGCTTGATTGGGCCGAATAAAAGATGTGGAAAAAAAAAATTGCCCGCAGCTTCCCTCGGGGGAACACTGAGGAGGATGCGGACCATATAATTGGTTAACGGGTTGTTAAAGTGCAACTTACTTGGGTCGATGGCTAAATTGGTTAACGTGGTTGTGAAATGGGGTGTTAAATTGCGACTTACTTGGGTCGATGGCTAAATTGGTTAACGTGGTTGTAGGAGGGGGTGTTAAATGAGTGAACACGTACACACGTATGCGAAAGGGCGGCGCTGGTCGAAGGGACGTCGATAATTGTGTTTGTGGATTCGTTGGAATTCATTTCACCGCGACCTTGGACGTCGACGCGCCGTACAAACCAACTGACGAGCGGCAACTGAGCGAGCGAGCGCCGACCTTGAGTATACATGCAGCACGACGACGCATGCACTGTCAGCTGTTGAATGTTCTCGAAGCGCGACGCCACATGCGCGTCCACTGGAGAATCAGGAGAATTGTAGATGTCGAACGCGGTGTGTAGAGGAGGAAGGGTGCACAGATGGTGGAGGAGTGAAGCGCGCGCGGTGTGGAGAGGAGGAAGGGATGCACAGATGGTGGAAGAGTGGGCGACGGCGCGACGGCGCATGCGCGCGCGTCAGCTGTCGAATGTTCGAGAAGCGGTGCGGACGGCGCACTACAAGGCGCGAGTATAAGATGCTCCGCATCTAAAAGTCTTGCTGAGCACGCTCAGTTTGGCGACTGGGCCCCCAACCTTTGACGTCACTGCGGCAGCCTTTCGGCCTTGAAATTTAGTCGGCGTTGGGCTACGCGAAGCTGCGCGCCTTCTCTCTCTATAGAGCGAGTGGCGCGGCGCCGCGTCAAAAAGCTCCACTCTGACAAGCTGCAACGCGTGCGTGCGGTCAAGCGTTGAGAGCTTGCGTCTCGCTCGCTGGATTCCGTGCCGACCTTGTGTGCCCTCGCGATCTCCGACGACAGCGCAGCTCTGGCCGACTGGGTTGGTCCTACGCCACCTCCTGCCGCCGGTCTCCTACGACGACGACAGCGCAGCTCTGGCCAACAGGATTAGCCCTACGCCATCTCCTGTCGCCGACAAGAGCTCTCGCAAGCAATACGCCGTCCTCGGACTCCTGTGACCATGCTTCTTCTTTCCTATCTCTTCTGTCGTCGCTCGCTGTCCTTGCGCATCTCTCTCTCTCTCTCTCTCTCTCTCTCTCTCTCTCTCTCTCTCTCTCTCTATATATATATATATATATATATATATATATATATATATATATATATATATATATATATATATATATATATACATTTATTCTTATCCTTTTAATCCCTCCTTACCCCCATCCCTTGTGATCTACTGTTAAGGTGTTGCACGCTGATGCAGACAGTTACGGGGCTCACTTTTTCTCTTCTTTTCCCTGTTATAACCACAATACTTAGAACTTGCGGGGCGACAATGACTCGCAGTGCTACCACGTTTGGCTTTGTTGATATTATGTGGTGGCGTTTAGAACTCGGTGCGCGGATTTTCTTGAAAAGTTAGAGGATCATCAGAGGTGGTTTCATCATCGTCAGCCTGGCTAAACCCCCTGGAGGACAAAGGTCTCTCCCATGTTCCGTCAGTCAACTCGGTCTTGTGCTTGCTGCGGCCCGGAAACTTCCTAATTTCACTGGAGGTGGTTTAGAAAAACTTTATTCGGAAGCCTTATCCGGGCACTAGCTCTGATTTTTCTGCTCAAGCACAAACGAAACGCACTTTAATCGCTTTTAAAACGAAAGTGTTTTATGCCGGGATCCACCACGCCTCCGCTGACGTACTTCGGTCATAGAAAAAAACGTTGAAGATATATATAAATATATTGCGAAGTAAAAATACCACAAGGCAAGCATTAGTCACGCGGAATCGAACCAGTGACCCCTCAATTCTCAGCGCGTGGCGTTAAATACCACGCCAAGATGTGTACGTTGTCCGGGGTGCTAACGGCAGGCCATTTTATTTATATTACACCATCATTTGGCAGTCCTCAAAGCTTCGAAACTTTAGCGCGTTTTTTTTTCTTATCAGTGACAAGATGGCGTGACGGGCTTGCGTTGGGAGCGCTCTAAAGGTCGTTGCTTTCACGAAGCGCCGCCTCCACGGAGCGTGGTCTCCCCTGAGCGCGCGCTATAGGACTCGTAATTCGGGAGAGGACGAAGGTTACTCTGCACGTTACGGTGGCTTCGTTTATGAAAAGAGCACGCTGCTGACACATGACGCAAGAATAATTCTGACAGCTGTTCACGCTCGTACTGTGTATATTTGTGCAATCATTTCGTGCGTCTTTCATTCAGTTTGAACGGCGCACTTGAAGTGTCGAACTGTGACAGCTGTTAGTCCACGCTCGTCCTGTGTAAGCTAATATCATGCGTAGAAGCTAGCTTCCCACTCACTGCTTATCAGTTAAGCTGGAGACGGGAAGAGAAAGTACTCACATTTGTGAAATCAAACGAAGCCCAATCCATACTCTGAGTTGGCATCACGTATTTGAGCTTTGTTTTGTTTGACCATGCTTCTCTCGGCAGCTGGGGACAGTGGTGCACGAGATCGGCCATGCCATCGGATTCATACACGAGCAGTCACGCGCAGACCGCGACCGCTACGTGGTGGTGAAATACGCCAACATCCTGAAAGGAGAGCACAGCCAGTTTGACCCGGATCAGAGAGGGCGGGAGTACGGAGCGGTATACGACTACACCTCAGTCATGCACTACCCGTCAACGGTAAGAACCTTCCGAGAGGAGCGTGGCCTGATACGGCTATTCACGCTAGTGTTACAATACATTCTCTGTGAGCATAGCCTCCTATAAATACACTAGTGGTAACTTTTGAACTAGTGTCTGTGGAAGCTTCAAAAGCGGTGCTTCAGCAATCATGGGAATGATGCTCGCATGGCTTGTATGTGTTTCGTCGCGAGAGAGCAATCAGTAAATGTGCAGCTATTGCACTTCTCCAAGTTAACCTATTAGGCTCCCCTTTTCGAATTGGGCCAAGTAGTTCACAATGGTTTATTTTGTTCATTTGAAACGAAACCAAAACACAACAATAAACAAAGCCACAAGTATGTTCATAGCCCGCCAGCACAAATACTAGGCAAATTTGTGTACCACTCATCGTTCCCGAAGTGGTTAAATGATCGCAGCGACAGGATCCCCTTATAAAATATTAGCAAACTTTATCTGTGAGCAATCGAAGAATACTCTCGCTAGTCGAAAAATTTGGCGCAGTTGGCGTAAGCACTTGTGAATCGAAAAAGTCGCGAAGGGTTAAATGTTACTAGAGGCCATCTCATCAATTCATATAGTAACGTCATCATGACTTCACAAATGGCGAGATTTTGTAGCGTCGTGTGATGACGTCATAACATGACATTGTCTCCGATCCTGAGGGTAGTGTGACACCAGATGCGGAGCTGAAAGCTCCTGGAGCAGACCGGAAGAGCAATGCCACCGTGCAATGGGTTGAGAACAGCAAGATTAGCTAATGAGCGTTTCCTGATATCACGCGCTTTCACCTGCTCTTTTCTTATAGTTTGCCCTCAAAGCAATTAGTTTATCAAAGTAACGCGACAAGCCCAGCATTCGGCGTTAGCGGAGTCTGTACTGTTTTGACCGTCTCAGTAGGCGCCATGCTGTCGCTGAGAAACGTAGCCGGGCAGCGCTCCCACGCCCGGAACCCCAGTTTCTCGGATCCAGTGGTGCGGAGCGACAAAGGGATTAGAAGACGGTTCGTGAGCCAATGTCCCCACAAGCAATTCCTCCGGGCCGGCTTGCTTAGCGAGACGGAGAAGCAGACTGACCACACAGGTCGTGTCTCCGCGATTCAAGTGTCTACTCCTTGACTGCCCTTCCAGGGAAAAATGGAAGAAGCAACCCAACCGCCGAATTGTTCTGGGAGAGAACCCCATTTCTCCTCTCCTCAGAGCAATGCGTCAAGAGGTGCAATAACTATTCGGCGGACCGTGCGTTACTGACTGATGCCAAGTGGGTGGTGTATTGTGTATGTGATTGGTGTTCCGATCAAGGAGCAGGAGCCCGACAGGGCTTAAAACGACGCCGCAGAGTGCTGGACGTCGCTCTGAACCATGTAACGGTTCAACCACCACGCTCGTGGTTTGTGAACTCCTAACCTCATGCTGTAAATAATTGTAAATAGTGCCATAAACATGTTTGTCTTTCGTATCCCCATCTTGTCAGCGTTCGTTTCCTCAACCCGAAGCTACACCAGGCTACCACAAAAGACCGGGTAGACCCCGGTCCGCAACAACTGGTGATCAGCGCTGGGATTCGGAGCGACTATTGGTCAACAGCTCCGAGAGCCGCAACAGTACCATGGGATGTTTTTTGTGAGCAGCCGCACTATTTACTATAGCTCAAGTTAGATGAGGATTTTCAAATTTCTCTTGTCCTTACGTAGGAGTGGCCCGCGATCCTACCACTATAAAACGACGGGGGGGGGGGGATCCTTTAGCTAGGACCCCAATAAAGTTTTTCATCCATTCATCATCCATCCATCTTCCGTCCCACCGCAGACGTAGTTCTTTCGCCGTGCAGCTATCTGTTCGATAGCCGTTAGTGCAGACGAGCATCGTGGTAGGCTTCGATATTATAAGGTATAGTGTAAGGCCTTGTGTTACAGATGTTCAGTTTGAGATTAGGCACGTCCTAATCGGGAAACGCAATTGTCACTCTGCAGGCGTTCGCAGCATCACCGGGGGTGAAAACACTGAGTCCAGTCAACCCGCTTCTTGCACCACTGATCCGCAGACGGGATGAACTGACGTTCCGCGACAGGCGCAAGGCAAACTTCCTCTACCGTTGCGATGGTAAGCCGACTAACAGTGGCTGCTAGATGTTCTGTCAGCCCAGATATTATGCGAATACAAGGTTCTCACTGTCTTTCCGCAGATACTGCTGCCTAATTCGTTCTCTACCCTGATTAAACGATGCTCTTCCAATGTAGTTGTTTCTCGAAACCGGTAGAACTGATTGAAACACGTTATCATGCATATTCGCGTCCTAGAGTCATGACGCTTAGATATACTATAAATTAAAATAAATGACAAACATGCACCCCCCGCAGAACCTCAGCAACAGAGCGCCAGTTTTTAGCGAGAAGTTTGACGATTTATAATTTTTTGACGAGTTAGACAGTGATGAGTGAGAATAAGAACAGTATAATAATGAAGAAGTTCATTAAAGCATGAAAGGGCAATTTTTGTTTTTGGCGGCTATCCCGCTGCCAGCTTTAATTTCGGTTCGTGGCTGAGAATATGCCCTTCGTCCCCCTAAGAAACTAAACGAAGTCTTGTCGGATTATCCTGTACCCTCGAAAAGGCGCTTGCTCGGCATTTTACGGTAGTCTATAGACCAATTCATAAGCATGCGTGGTCGAATGAGTTGTATAGTGTCGATGACACGCATATGTCTGAGACTAATGCAAAAACGATGCACCGCACTGACAGATTCAAGCAAAAACGTCCAGCAGGCACTATAGGTAAACCTATGTACAGCGGCACTTTATGGCTACTCTCAGTCGCCGTTTTTAACACGGAAGTGTTTTATGCCAGGGTCCACCACGGATCCACTGACATGCTTCCGTCATGGAGGTAACGTTGAAATATATAGTAAAAAATTGCAAGGAATCGTCGTACGGAATCGAACCAGCCACCTCTCGTTTCCCAGCGCGCGGTGCTAACCTCTAGGCCAAGGAACGCACGCTGTTTGGGCGAGTAACGGCAAGCCATTTATATACATCGTACACCGTTTTGGCGGTCCTCAAAGCTTTGAAACTTTAGAGCGTTTTTGTTATCAGTGGCGAGATGGCGCGACGGGCTCGCGTTGGTCGTGCTCTAAAGGTCGACGCCTCCACGCAGCGCCGCCTCCACGGTGCGTGGTCTCCCTGGCGCGTGTGCTTATCAGAGTCGCAATTCGGGAGAGAACGAATGTCACTTCGCACGCTGCGCAGCCGCGTTTTCGAAAGGCACGCGCTGCTGACACATGACGCCGGAAGAAGAATGGGAGTTGTTCGTGCTTGTCCTGTGTATTTTTGTGCGCTCGTTTCGTGCGTCTTTCTTTCTTTCTTTATTAACAGCGTGCTTTCAGTATCGCGCTGTGACAGTTGTTAGTTTGCGCTCGATCAGTGTATGCTAATTTCATGCGTTCTTTCCTGCTTCAGGTGTGCTTCATTCGAGCTGCTGGCCGTTCTCAACGTGACTTTGCAATCAGCTGCCGCTCCTAAAACAATGCACAATAAACGCTCAACTACCTATGTAAAGACACATTTCACTTTCGCGTTATACCGATTCCTATATAGAAGAATCACCCACGTTTTTTACACATATCTTTTATGCCAATATTTCCTCTTTTCATTGCAGCCGCATGCAAGAGCAGACCAGTGTGCGAAAACGAAGGTTTCGTCGATCACACCTGCAAGTGTGTCTGTCCGCCGAACACGAAAGGAGAGCGTTGCCAGAAGTGGCGCCATTCTTACTATCGTGAGTGCGAGTCAGCACACTATCGCGCAAAAGAAAAAAGTGGTAATAGCTCTTTAAAATGGGGCTGAGCTTCAACTTCTAAGTGCTTGCCGTAATGCTTCTTTTAAGGTGATGTCTTGAACCTGCAGCAGATAAAACTCTGCGTCGAAGTGTGTCCTCAAACTTTACTGTCAATATTAGGAAAGTGGCAACTACTTCACGATTCTGGAGCCCCAACAAATGTAACACAGTTATGAATGAATGAATGAATGAATGAATGAATGAATGAATGAATGAATGAATGAATGAATGTGCGAGGCACAGTGGTTGTTCCAAATGCTAATCAAGGGTTCCCGTATATTTCTTTGCAGCCCGAACCAAGTGTGGTCGCCGCGTGATTCGCGAGGGAACCATTTCTTCTCCTGGCTACCCAAAAATACAGATACCGGAGGTTGGAACTTGTGTCTGGTGGATACAAGTAAGTCAACGACTCGAATGCCTCACCGACACTGGAGGCACAGCAGCGGCGATTGGTTGCCGACCACATGAGGATGCTATTGCAGCGATCTTTATTCGAATCAGTCGTCGTAACGACCCACTTAGAGAGTATCTCAGAACTAAACTATCTATATGATGGTTTTCGAAAGACTGGATGTGTCTTTTGAGAGCAACAGATTTTGTATTGCCATCCTTCAAGCGCGTTATAGTTTAGGCATATCATGGCGCAGCATGTACTGGTGGATGTCTGGCATGGTGAAAGCTTGAAAAGATAAAAAAAAAACCCTGATCGGTTGGTTACCATAGAGCCAAGCAAATATTTAACAACGGGTCTTTTCTGCTTCAAGGCAGTTGCTACCTCGAAAAAGACATGTAAATTTGGGAAAATGTTGTCTTCAGTGAGACCTTTCTTTTCAAGCTTTTTTTCACTTTCTCACATCTCCATCTTCTCTTGAAGTTCTGAATAGTTTGGATAATGAAAACACGTATAATGTAGCCTACTTTTTCTTCAGTTTGAGACTCTACTATAGGCTCCTAATCGCTAAGGAGCTATCTGGACAAACTCGGGTGTACTTCCGTGTCTTTTCTTCATTTAGGGACGGGGGCAGGGGTGAAGGAGGGGCTATATTTGGCCTAACCATTGTTGGCCATGCAACATGGTCCAGAAGTAACAGAAACTGTGGCTTGGAGGTGCCTACAAGACCGCCCCCTCCATTCTAATTCACTGACCATGCTTTCGCTCGGCAATGCTGTTGTGCGGCTAAGCTCAACGACGTAGAATTGATTGCCGGGCATTGCGTACACATTTAACAACGGCGAAGTTTAAATGCACTATAAAGAACCCAGCTGGTAGACATCGTTTATTCGCAGTTCCTCGCTGCAGCATGTCTCAGCGCTTTAGGCAAGCAAGACCTCGAAATCGAGTTCACCGCAGTAATATCGCAACATATGGTGCGTCCGTGGCAGGTTATATCAACTTGAGAAAATGTTCAACTTCCGAACTTCGCAGTCTAAGTTAAGTAAAGGAAGGTTTCAGTCGAAGCAAGCTTAATCACAGGGTGAGCTAGTGTAACGTTGCGGAACACCTTTGTGCCTACCTAGCGTGCTTGATAAATGCCAAAACTGTAGGCTCACTGCATGTTTGCTGCAAAGTGAGCCTAATGGCATTATTTTTTACGTTAATTCAAAAGTAGTGATACTGAGAGAGAGTGAGAGAGGGATTAAAATGAGGAAAAGGCAGGGAGGTTCACCAGAAATTGGAGCATCCGGTTTGATACCCTGCACTAAGGGAAGGGAGAATGGGGAATAAAGATGGGAAAGAAAGCGACAGCGAAATAAACGCACAAAAGAGAAAAAAAAAAGTGAGCTGGGGTGCTATAGCTTATTCAATAGGACACTATATGCCACGCACAAAGTTCAATAAGGCCTTCACTGATTTTCTGTGCGAAGACAGATTATGTCACCTTTCAAGCACTGACTGTTCTGACAAGCGTCTGTCGTCAAGGAGAGCTAACGCAGCAGCTAGCTGCCGTCTTTGCACGCTGTAACGTGGGCAGTGACAAAGAACGTAATGACGCTGATGTTTATTGAAGCCCTTAAGAAATGAACATGTCATACTTCGTTGTCGGTAGTATGGCAAAAAGAACTGCAGACAGTAGCATGAGAAATGAAGCTCCTGCGACTTTACTCATCCACAGGCTCCACGAAACAAGGCGATTCAACTCACGTTCCGGGACTTTGACCTGTACGGCCGAGTTAGCGGGTTCTGCACTCGCGATTGGTTCGAAATCCGACTGAAGTCGCTCTACATGGGACAAACGTGAGTACGGGCACAAGGTACGCTTCTTTGCGAAAACAAGGTGAAACAACATTCCTATCACTCGTTTCCAAACCGATACATGGCTCTCCTGGTGTTAATATGTAAATCGGCAAACATGTTAGAGTCTACGTCATTCGAACGTAACTATCAAAGCTATCATGTAGACATCTCGCCTCGAGCTATAACCACTGCTTACACCAGGGCTCTGGCACTTTTAAAGAGCCAGTAAACAACCCCGAACTTTTAAAAAAATGTTATAAAACTGTGTGTAGTTTTGCTTTGGGAGCATGTCGCAAGAATTGTGTGAATATCTGAGATAAACACGAGTTATAAAATTTATTTCTGCTTGTTTCAAAATTTCGCGCGGCTTCGCCACCCTTTCCCCTCACGGGAAGGGGAAAGCGTAGCCCGTCGTCGTGGCTGATTTAAACTAATGGATGAGCTCCGTGCTACGTTAAGTCACTGATCGGCGACTTTGCGTCACTGCGTGTGAAAGGAGGATTGGCAAGGCGTAGGAAAGGAGCGCGGGAATTGTTTTTCGAAAGAAAGGCTCTGCGTGGCGTGCAGCACTGTAATATTTGGAAAACGTGATCATCACTGTCTATACTATACGGATTACCGAGCCTCTTTGGGGGGGTCTAAAAGAAAAGAAAAAAAAAGACGGAGCCTGTTGACGGGCTCTTCAAGAGTACGTAGTTTTTCGTTGCGACTATTTATTGCATGATGTATTCTTTAATGCATAATCATTAGCATAGGTGTGCGAAAAACTTGGAGCTTGTTCAGACTTGCTCTTGAAATATATTTTGCCCCTTGAACTCACTCGGCCTCAGGCTCACTACAAATTTTCCGACCAAACTCACTCGCACTCAATCTCGCCGATATCTTTCTCACCCGTACTCACTCGATCTGCGTCTGAGGGAGTTTGAGTTAGTCGATTCATGAGTCCATTAGCGTAAATGTAGCATTTCAGGCCAAATATTCAACGCTTTTTCACAGTGTTATATCGCATATTCGGAGCTCCACTATGCCCCTTTTGATATTTTATGTTGAAATACGAGAAAGCAGAGGTTGCAGTCTAGTAAGAAAATTTTTATAAAAAGATATGCCCCACGGCATACTTTTATTAATAATTCCCGTGAAATACTTGCTGACGAAGGTCGACACACCACATGCACCCATGAGTCAAGCCTCTGAACAATAATTATTGTACTGGGGTATGAACGCTAGTCAGATTAGGTATGTGAGAGTACACGATCATATACGGGAGCTGACGTGAAGCAGGTATTAATGGAGCAGTTCAATAGTTATCAGTCTATCAACATAGGTCGGCACGAAAATACGGACTTCATTAGGAGTCAGTTATGAAATATACTTTGCCGCTCGGACTCGCTCGGACTCGCACTCACCAAAATTTGCCCCTATAGCGGACTCACTAAGATTCAAACTCAAGAAAGTTTTTTCCGACCGGCCTCAGCCGGATTCCTACACACCGAAATACTACTTACCAGGACTCACCCAAACTGATACACTTGGCTCGATCTGAGCCCGAGTCAGTCGACTCATGAGTGCTTTTGCCAACCTATGACCATTAGTGATTATTCTATAATTTATTTTGATGATCGAGCTTTTATATTTCCCCTTTACACATATTCCTTGAAAACTCGACTAGCTGCACAAGCAGAAAGAAAAAGAAGAGAGACATGAAAGAGTGAAGACAATCAAATACTTGATGTCAGTTATCGGAGCCAATGTATAGGCATGCTACGATACGCCATCTGGATGAGCACAAAGCGATGATTTATTTAAAAAGGTACTGCAGGCGTAGCCATGAAAAAAGCACCACAGTTGAAGCAAAGGCCTCCATCTCTGGCTGCGCAATCGCAAGGTGTGCACTTCTATTTTAGTTACCTTTTTTACTCTTTTCATCTTTTTATTGCTCAAAGCGTCAACGCGTCTGCTAAGAAGTATTGCTGCGACCCGTATTTCGTTTCATAGGTCATGTACAATGTTATCATTGCCAACGGGACGCCTTATACAGTATATGCTTTCGCACAAGAAACACTAAAATTATTTTTACATCCTATATTATTATCTTTTTCTCGTTTTTAGATTGAATAAGAAAAAAACAGATTGCTGTGCCTGAGAAATAACCTATTCCCGTTATTCATGCGGTTGTCAACAGATTGTTAGGGATCACTTAGTGTATCTTCGTTTTTGCTTCTTGGCTTCTACAAATAATTCCAGAAGCGAGCAGCCACGGCCGATCACGAAGGCCACACCTAGAACGACCAAATCTAAGCGCGTGACATGCGGAAAGTATCGCATAGTTTCCATGGCATTTCGCCCGGTGTATGATGCAGAGTATAGTTATAGTCACATTGCTAAATTGCATCCCTCAATCAACAGTTTAAATAACCTAATGCTACACGTGCGCAGGTTCTGCAGCGACGAAATGAAGCCAGGAAAAGTGGTCACCTCGGTGGGTCGAAACGTGATCATCGAGTACAGGCCATATGCCTGGTTCAAGCGTGGTTTCTCACTCGAAGTCAAGTTTGTTCCTGTTGAGACAAGAAAACAGTGACAAATACCTCGGCACGATACGCCAAGTTCACGCTATTCGCATACCTCAGCCTTGAAAGCCCTAGAGAAGATTGATTTTAATTATACGTCACATCAATGAACAGTATCAGAGCAGAATGACCAGTTGTTTCAAATAGCGATTATTGGTGTCTCCTGAACATGATAACATGCGGAATGTAGCTTTGGGTCTGTCGATTTCACCTGGCTAAATGCGTCCATGTTCGCCATGAAGGACCAACAGCATGCCGATCGGGTGTTCTCTCTAGCATTATGTGTGCTTGAATGCCTTTGTTGCGTGCAACGTACGCCAGCTACTATTACTGGATTCATGTGACTTGAACCTTAGTATCATATTCACATACTATCATACACGATTCATATGCACGATCATGTAGCGCCTAAATGGATGTTCCTTAACTCACATTTATTGTTTACGCAGCTTTACATAAGAATAAATACTAGAGCGTGGTGTACTTTGCACATTCCTGTGTTTTGCTGCGAAAGCTGTTATGAGATCAGAACAACAGCTGTTCTTTTGGCGCAGCAGTTGTCCGGCGCCACCACCAGCGGTGTCCGTCACCGCTAGAGTGCGAAGCAAGAAACAAACACGGTTGACCCCTACCTCATAGGAAACGTGCCTTTAGTGCAGATGTATGTTTAATGTGAATTGATATAAGAGAGCTTGAGCACTTTTTATTCGCGATTCGTAGCCATAGCCCCATTTAACGTGCATGCATCCCCATTGTCTCTTCGCAGCAAGTCTCCATCCCGCTCACTAACGTCCATGATTAATTATTAAACAAACATCTGTTGTAGCGTAGTAGCTAACGATGCTCATCTATGTTCCTGTGTAAAATATTCCAAGAGTCTTTGAATGAAGGTGTGGTGCCACGCGTTTGGAAAGAGGCAAAGGTGGTTCCGCTACACAAATCAGGAAACAAGCATTCTGTTTCTAATTACCGACCTATTTCACTTACTTCTATACCATGCAAACGTTTGGAGCACATAATCTTCTCTAACTTGGTCTCCTTTCTAGAATCAAATTCGTTCTTTAGCACGTCAAAGCATGGATTTAGGAAGTCATTCTCATGTGAAACGCAGTTGCTTTGTTTTACCCATTCGTTACATATCATTCTAGATCGGAGGTCACTGGCTGACTGCATTTTAGATGCGGAAGCATCTTATACTCGCGCCTTGTAGTGCGCCGTCCGCGCCGTCCGCACCGCTTCTCGAACATTCGACAGCTGACGCGCGCGCATGCGCCGTCGCGCCGTCGCCCACTCTTCCACCATCTGTGCATCCCTTCCTCCTCTACACACCGCGCGCGCTTCACTCCTCCACCATCTGTGCACCCTTCCTCCTCTACACACCGCGTTCGACATCTACAATTCTCCTGATTCTCCAGTGGACGCGCATGTGGCGTCGCGCTTCGAGAACATTCAACAGCTGACAGTGCATGCGCCGTCGCGCTGTATATATACTCAAGGTCGGCGCTCGCTCGCTCAGTTGCCGCTCGTCAGTTGGTTTGTACGGCGCGTCGACGTCCAAGGTCGCGGTGAAATGAATTCCAACGAATCCACAAACACAATGATCGACGTCCCTTCGACCAGCGCCGCCCTTTCGCATACTTGTGTACGTGTTCACTCATTTAACACTCCCTCCTACAACCACGTTAACCAATTTAGCCATCGACCCAAGTAAGTCGCAATTTAACACCCCATTTCACAACCACGTTAACCAATTTAGCCATCGACCCAAGTAAGTCGCACTTTAACACCCCGTTAACTAATTATATGCTCCGCATCCTCCTCAGTGTTCCCCCGAGGGAAGCTGCGGGCAATTTTTTTAGACTTTTCGAAGGCTTTTGACAAGCTAATCATCACCTACTACTTTATAAGCTTAGAACCTTTAATAGTGATGGCGGCATTCTTGTTTTAATTGCTCACAATTCGTTCTTGCTAACAACTACAGCTCACCCTCTTCTTCGTTACTTCTGGTGTGCCCCAGGGTTCTGTGTTGGGCCCTTTACTATTCCTTATTTATATTAACGATTTACCCGATGTTGTAACTTCTTCGATTCACCTTTTCGCCGACGACTGCATTGTTTACCGAGAAATTTCATCTAACTCTGACGCTAGTTTTTTCCAAAGTGACATTAATACTATTGCCAGCTGGTGTAGAACTTGGCACATGGACCTCAGCACTAACAAACGTGAAGTTTTACGTATCTCACGAACTACCAGACCCCCTGCTAACTACATCTTAAATGACGTTGATCTGGAGTCTGCAACTTCGTATATATACTTGGAGATTCATATAACATCTGACTTGAACTGGAAACATCATATTACATATGTTATTAACAATAGCAACCGTATGCTAGGGTATCTACGACGCAACTTCAGCCGTGCCCCTCAAACCGTGAAACTAACAATGTATAAAACACTAGTTCGTCCAAAACTCGAATATGCAGGCTCTATTTGGGACTCTTTTAAACTGAACTTAACTCGCTTGCTTGAAATGGTACATAATAATGCAGCACGCTTCATTCTAACTACCGTCGTACTAGCAGTGTTACATCAATGAAACACAGCCTTTCTCTACAGTCACTTGAATCACGTCGCAGAGCATCTCGTCTCATACTTTTTCACAATATATTCAATCATCCACTTTTGAAAGCTCAGTTCATTACCACTCCTGCATATTACTCAGCTCGTTTAGATCATCAACATAAGGTACACGTCATTAGTAGCCGCACTAACACTTTCCATCATTCATTCGTCCCACGCACATCCAACGACTGGAACCACCTTCCCTCGGACATGGTTTCCATGTCAAATCATGGCTTGTTTTCTTCTACAATACAGGAGTACTTACATGACGACGCGTGAAGTGTATATTGTACATTTATAGTATTGTACTCTGTTTCCCCCATGTTTCTGATGGTACTTACACATACATTCAGTGTATTGCCCAACATCAAATTTACATGTCTTGTAATCTTTATTATTTTGATATTACTATGTTTGCTCTTGCTTATAGTTTATTATTTTTTGTACCCCACTCCCCTTTGTAAACTATGTGCGATTGAGGGTAAAATAAATGAAATGAAATGAAATGAGAGTGTAATCAGAAGAAGCGGTGTGGCAGCCAGAAGAGCGTCGTTAGGCCTTAGTCCGAGAAGAACTCGGACTAAGGCCGCCAACCCTACGGAATGTTAAATAACTATTTAATATCAGTTGGAATAGAGGGAAAGACGATTCCCGTCATATTTACCATCTAGTCCGGTTGAAATATTTCTTGGGGTAAGCGTGATCGGCGTGGGCGGCGTTACAGCCAAGCACGGAGCCAACCGATTCAGACGTGCTTCGCCGAGCCATTTTTAATATGAATAGATGTCATTAGCGAGGAAAAGGCTTGGGCTAAGGTAGCCACGTCACCGCATGTTAAGGCGTTGACAAATCTGCACTTTTCTTACTGAAACGCGCCAAACAGGACAGTCGCGTGGAAACGACACTTTGGAGGAGCGAATCTCGAATGCCACGGTCACGATCAATTACTTCGCGTTACCGATCCCTGACGGTGATAGCACCACGCCGACAAAGAACACTGAAAGAGGAAAGTCTGAGATATAAAAGGTGTGTTTGTGCAGTATCCAGAGTGTATGACCAGGGCGCAGTGGACAGCTGGCCTCGCATCAGTTGTCGCAGACCTATAGGTCGTCTGTTCTACTCCCAGTGATGAAACTTTTTTTGCCTTCGCCATCTGATCATGTGCATTTCTTCGACGTCATTTCTGTGACAGAAATACATCACTGAAGCCTTGTTAGACTCTGGCATAAAACACCTTGGTGTTTAAAAAATAAATAATAAATATATCTATAAATAAATATAAATAACTCTTGTAACCTGTTAAAAAGTCTCAGCCATAACTCTTCATCGGCACCAGCAAAGCATCAACAAAGGGCACATAACGTTTCCGCTCTTGAGCTAGTTCAAATATAAATCCATCTGCTTTATTTTCACAGATGGTCTCAGAACAAACGCTGAGAATACCACATGGCAAGAACATAACGCATCATCTTCTGAGTTGGTTCCCAGCTCACCTTGGACAAATCAACGACTCCCCTCCCAATCTAAATGAAGTAGCACACGAGGCGGCGCGAGACCTCTCCAACCGTGCCTCCCCGGGGATGCGTCCTACCGGTGGAGGGGATAACAGGGAAATTCTTACAACATATAACAAGCTCACTAAACATTTCTACCTGTCTAGAAGGAATTTCCCTCCACCTCACAAAAATCTAACTCGGCCCTAAGCACTTACGTTAAGGCTTTTGCAAACGCGGATGTACCCTACTTTGAAAATGTTACACATCATATACCCTGACCTATACCCAAGTATTCTTTGCCCACATTGTGGGGAAATAGCATCATTAGAACCTATGCTCTGGCAGTGTACCGAATTTGCTCGTTTATCGAACGCCACCTCTGCCAGATGGGAGGCGGCCATTCGCAGCTCGTCATTGGCAGATCAGCTCTGGGCTGTCCACCAAGCCCGTGAGGCGGCTGAGGAGCTCGGCATCTCAGTACCCACGTAGGAGCTGCCCGCAACACAGTGATCTGTGTTTTGGAGGACCAAATAAAAGTTTCTCTAATGCAATCCAATACAGTAACACCGCAGGCATTACTTCAATGAAAGAGTCTTCAGAACTTTCGTCGCTCGCTTGTCGCCATAAGTTCTTTTGCATGTGTCTATTTAGCAAGATATACTACAGCACCACCCTGCATGAAAAACTTATCCCCCTTTCATCATACATCACCATTCATTCTTATCATCCCCAGAAATCAGAGCCCAATACATGCATACTTGCTTACTGATACCGAGTCCAATACCTGCACTCTGGAGATGTTCGCCTCGTTCCCCTAGTTTTGATGTGAATAAAAAATTTAATAGGTTGTGGCGTTTAGGATGTGGTGTTGTAGACTGCTATATTAGAAGTCGCTCGTGTAAGCATAGGGCTCGAGATGTTTATTGGCGATGGTCATCATTAACCACTCGACGTCACACATAGCGTGCCAAAATCAGCTACAGAGTATGACACGAGTCTTCAAATGGCGCGAACAAGGTCTTGCAAGCTTAAGACAGCTTCCGGCAAGGGAGGGAAAGAAATGGAGGGTGGTTGTCAGGAGCACTCACCAACTTATAGCCAGGGTACATGGCAAGGAGGTTGGCCGTTCCAGAATTTCGTACTACGTCACTAAAGCCGTGTGACGTATGACTGCTGTGAATGTCGAGTATGGCTTACCACTGAGCCATTAGTGAATGTGACCAACGAAAGGTGGGGCTGCACAAGAGTGGGAAGAATCGCGAGCTTAGCTAGAGACAAGCACGCCATTGCTTCTAACTGTGTATCAGTTTCACATACTTTAGGGGTATATAGACTTCGGGTCACGAGTGCGGGGTCATTCGCTATGTCGCTTCAGGCCGGCAAGCAAACTTCCTCTATGCGATCTCCCCCCAGATGACCAGAAATTCATTCCCAGTAAACTCGGAGGCTTGTAAAAAAGTGCTCGCATGAGATGAAGTCGAACATGAAGGTGGCACAGAAGAAAACTTAGTCCGCCGTATTGGAGGGCGCTCTGGTTGCTGGACGGCGCGGTACTTGTGCCAGTGTGATGTGCAAACATCATCCACGGAAGATACGTGTGCTAGCTTCCACATGGTCACTGCCTCTGCCCTTTAACTGCAAACGGCAATCACATTTGCGCGTTTACGCTAAGTGAGCATTGCTCTGTAAGTGCTCTGACTTTACAACTGCAATTCAGAATCAGTATACGTTATCAGCTATTCTTTTACTCGATTTCTTTCTTCAACATCGTCCAACAATCCCAATCTACTGATCTTGGCAACAGTGCTAGCAAATCACCACTTCTTGATGGGACAGAAAAAATAAGAATAATTTCAACGTCATACTGTCGTGGCATAGTACGGCCGGTATACTGGTGACATATATACCATGAAGCAAAACAAAAAAACACAAAAAACCCATGTCTGTGTTGACAAGCGTATGATGTGAGCTGCCAGTTCAGTGTATTGTGCCTGGAAGAGGTGTATTTTTCTTGTGACGTGTGCCGCTATGCACTGGGCGTTCTTGCTTCATTTGGAGGATGCATTTTCGTGAATCTTCATGCCACGAGGTTAGTCATCTAGGATTCTCTGAAAAGGAAACGGGAACACTTTATAGTGAGAACCAACAACTACAAAAATGCAGCCAGCTCCACTAGGCAAAAACTGTCGAAACAGCGAATCTTCTACCGTCCTTCATCAGGCTATATTGTACTTCAATTTTTTATCTAGTATTCTTTTTGTCGGCGCTTAACTTAGGCTTCTCTTGCGCGATGTCGCAGTAGCATCGAGGATGACAAGCCCATTTTAGCGTTAGCTCTTACTGGATCATTGTCGAGTGGCTCTTCATTCAGAGAACGAAGAAAGTCCGCAATTACGAAAGCGCAAACTCCTGAACACTGACAGTGACACGCTTTTTTACACTCCACTGGGTGCTTGTGATCAGAAGGAAAGTGAAAAAAAACAGCAGTTGTTCCGTGTACGAATACAACCAATGAGTGAAGCTCCTTGACAAACGGTATGCAAACGACTAAGTGTCTGAACTCGTTACTGGCTTGGCGGTGGGGTGGGAAGAGGGTGGGGAGAGTGCCTACTGCGCTCGGTGGCGGGAACGACTGAGTGAATGAGTGCGCGGCGCGCACGGATCTTTTGCCGATGCACTGCCCAGCTGGAGCACGCCTGTTGTTTCGCTCGGAGCGCTTGCCCGGCAAAAAAAAAAAAAAAAGCTTTGGCGGCGACGGCAGAGTGCGGACCTAAGTAGCTTCGCTCCTAAAAAGGCACCCAATTTATGCAACCCTATACACCAGAACAGAGCAGTGTGCAGCCATGTTAGACAGCACGTCACACCATCTGTCGCAATCGCGGTGAAGCAACATCCTGAACTGTCATGTGAGTAGACGCTCTACAAATCAAACGCGAAACTTTCCAACCCGAGCACAGCGGCGTTTAGCGTTTAGCGCGTTTCACCCTCTGGAAATTTGGGCTGTTTTCTTGTGAAACTGAAGTGAAGCAGGAAAGTGGGCTAGCTTGAAACGTGGACATCTTTCTGAACAGTTGTCTACAGTATGTGCATTGCAGACTGCGGAAACAACTTCATCAGGTACGTGCTGACGCGATAGAAAGAAACGGGAACAGCCGAAAGCGTGGCTTTTGACGGATTCAAACTGCGACATGCCTTGACTGTTACTAGACAAAGCTAGTGCTTTCAGCCATCGTCACCATAGAGCTAGAACCCCGCTCTGGCTTCCGTTCTTGCACCGCATGTGATTATCATTTGTCAGTCATGCCGAACTCTCGGAACACGCGGGAGCTGCAAAAATGCCAGCCATAGGGAGAGAATAAAACAACTTTATTAGGTCCACAATAGACACGATTTAACTCAACGTCACATGACTAGGCCCACTCGGGACGCCATCGTGAGGACCCTCTGTACGGCCAGGACTTCAGAGTTCAGGTCCTGGGCCTTAATCAGCTTGCTCATTTCCTCTGAGTGGAACGGAGGGCAAGCCAAGGCACAGTCCCGACGAAGGTGCTCGAAGTCCGCATAACCATCACACAAGGGGTCACCAGACAGAGGGGTACTGGTACAAATGTGTACCACTTTTTCCCCACGTTTCAAACACTCTTAATAAGAAAATGACCACGCTTGGCGGAGCTCTCTTTGGTGTTACCATCTACCAAGGTATAAGAGGTTATTTTAGCTCTTTGCTTCGCTATGACATACGGCGTGGAGAGCTAATTGGATTGTAGGGGCGAAGCTCCTTATGGCCTAGGGCAGTCCTGCGTCCCTACGACGCCTCCAGCATGTCATATTCACAGACAGACAGACAGACAGACAGACAGACAGACAGACAGACAGACAGACAGACAGACAGACAGACAGGCGGATGGACGGACGGACGGACGGACGGACGGACGGACGGACGGACGGATGGGCGGACGGACAGGTGGACGGACGGACGGACGGACGGACGGACGGACGGATGGATGGATGGATGGATGGATGGATGGATGGATGGATGGATGGATGGATGGATGGATGGATGGATGGATGGATAGACGGAGGGACGGGCGCATGGATGAACAGATACACGGAAGGACGGGCAGATGGACGGGCGGATGGACGGATGGACGCTTTGCCTCGTTCATCATACACTCCGTGGATATGATGTGGTTTGTCATGTGCTTTGATTACTGTTCTCTTTCCGCCAGAGTGCCCTAAATGAATGTCTTGAACAAATGCATCACTTGAACATTTATGAAGAGTTCCATTTTACTTGTTTAGTGAACAGAACATATGGATTCACTTTTAACACCAAGATTTTTACTGCGTTTACTATTCATTTTTTTGTTAAATGAAAAAATTCAGTTCTTAATTTCGGCTGATGGTGTTAGCCCTAATAGGGCAGATATTGTACTGGTAGAGTTGCGCATATGTGCACCATTTCCATTTTAATTGAAGCACACCTTTCGTCGCGGTCCATTTGAGGTGCGTCTGATTACTGTAATTGCGAAATAGCGTTGGCTGATGATGACCTGTGGCAGGTCGTCGTCGCACGTCCTCGGCATAAATGCACAGTAGCTATCAGCGCCACAAGTGCCAAGTTTTGTTGAGCATTGAATGCTTGTAACAATTCCGAAACTAAAGAGCCGCAATTAATTGATAAATAACGTGACTGTTCAGAAGTTGTTTTTTCTTCATTTGGTACATGCTGAAGACAAATAAAAGTATGTACTACCTTTTGGACTGCGCTATGAAGCAGTGGTACATATATGTACTTCTTTTTTTTCGAAATTTATTCTGCCGACATTCTTGAAGATGGTGTCAAACATTTTCTTAAGTAATCCTAAGCGTTGTTTCGCTTACTGTAAGCAACAAATATTTGCTTGAAGTAGTGCCCTGCGAAGGGTTAAGCCTCGCAATCTTTTTTTCTGTGGCAATTTCAAGAATAAGTTTTTTGCGTTCATCTTCGGGTACGAATTGCAAGCAGGCATGTATTTTAATTTAGAACTGACGTCATAAAATGTGTGTGTGGGATTTTTTTCGTAGGCTTAGAAGTTAGAATGGCGGAGGGGGGGGGGGTGCAATTAGACGAACTAAGAAAAGTGTAGACACAGGGGTAAGAGATCGCAGGACGAGGTACAGGTATTCAAATAACCTAGGGCCTCACCATAATGCTGTCCATAGCTTCGGCGTATACTGAAATCAACACAAAACGTTCCAATGAAGCTTTTCTTTTTCACATAATAAAAAAAGAAGGTACTGCCTGAAAGAGTGACAGGTATAACATTTCCATAGCATGCGAGTATCGCACCACTTAGACCCCAAAAAGAACCCTAACTTCAACAAACAAGATACAGGACCTTTCAAATTTAGCTTTGATGTATCTTATACCGCTTTCTAATTGTCACCCATCTTCTTTTATTACATGCGTAATATTGCTCCAAAGGCATCTCTAATTCACAAAGAAGTCTTCATGGAATATCGCATGATAAACAAAAACTTTTTTCATGCTCAAATTTTATGGGCTGGGCCTGCCACCCCTCTCCGGCCACTACATATGAGCACATTCTTGGCCACCCACACTGAACTTTCTAAGTGGGTTTAAGAGGGGATATAGAAGCATTAAACTTAATTATCATGTCCTCACTGTGACATGACCAATATTATACGTATTTGTTGTTTTTGCCATCATCTACACCTTTCAAAACCGATCTTGTTTTGGAAAAAAAAAGAGGCAACATCACCGACATATCGCAGTGTGCGTCCACCTAAGCAAGTTGCAGTGGACGGGAGTGCCTTAGCACGACGTCTCAAGCGCACAAACATAATAGCTAATTGTATGACCTTTAAGTTGTGACTCTTGTGATACATAAACGTTTCTTTGTGCTACCTGTTATACATAAAATGAAAACAAATGTAGACGCACCACGTCTGGTTGCATATAGTTATAAATTACCAGCCTCAGGATGGCTTTGTATTTATCATATTCCAAAATATGCGACATATTTGTTGTTTTCTTTCCTATGCATTGAGAAGCATATGCGTACAATTGCAGGTCAGGAAAGCATGTCTATCTCCGACCTTTTTTCCGTGTCATTATTTACTTCGACAAAAAATAAACTAATTGAGTCCTAAACATGACCTCAAATAGGTGGATTTTCTCTAGTCTGGTCGACGAATTGCAGCATGCATTCAAGAGACTTCAAATCGGGTAGCTAAAAATTTTTCATTGTCCATGAATAAAATGTTCGTTTTTCAGGTGAAAAAAGCAAAAAAAAAAAGACTTTGATACAAATCACGGTCGAACAATAAGAAATCGAACTTTGGGTTAACATTACAGAGCTTCAAGGCACTAGTTAAAGATAACTGGCACAACACAAAAATTTGGAGCTTGGAATAGAGAACCAAATAACTTTGGCCACGCATTCTAAAAGCGGGCTTGAAGAAGCCCACTTTTGTAGCCTCTGCTTGTTGCTGTTATAATTGTTGGCAACGCGTGAGCACACAAGGTCGTATTGTGAAGTCATGACGATTAGCCGTACAGCTCTGTATACTGACAGCGTCTACTCCTCAGAAAGTTAAGAGCTCCGGTCAAATGTCACGTGTCGTGCATGTTTGCTACGTGGTATGTGAAACGTCCTTGACGGATCGTTTAATTCGGCGCAATGAGGTTATGCGCGTAAAATATCGGCAAGTTCACACTTCACACGAAGTAAACATGACGCATCAACAGAACGCAGCCTTTCTTAAGCCTCGTGGTGTACTGCGTTTCGCCCCAGAACATGCATAGCTGTTTGGCTTTCACATACCTTTGTCGAATGTGTCCACCACCGCACTCGGCGCAACACGCTGGGCCTGGACATGGTAGACATGAGGATGTGGTTATTACAAGCACACACTCTCAGGTAATCAGCATGGTTTAAAGCGCGCTTAACTGCTACGTTTTTAAAATTATTAATTGCTGCGTATTCAATTACGTGTTCGAATTTGTGTCGAAAAGGTGGTTCTCTCAATCACATCGCTACTTTGTGGCGTGGGTATACTCTTTATATGATCTTGCAGATTTATGAAGTCTGTTAGCCTGCTTAGCACAGCTGTCATGGCAGTTGCGTTTTCAGATGACATCGATAATTTGTTTTTCAAAGGGGGGTCCAACCAGTGGTCCGACCATGCACATCTTACTGCAATACAGTGACCGCTCATGGTGAGTCGATCCCAACTTCGTTCTCTCCTGCCGCTAGACCTGTGACTCCGCCATGGTGCCTCGCTCAACAAATGATTAATATTAACATACCTGGCGTCCAGAAAAAGGCCAATTTGTCGTCACCGGCTCTTAAACAGCTCACACTACTTCTCTTGTATGAGAAAAATCAAGACTCCACACATATCTACACTGACGGATCGGTTCAGCCGGACAGCTCTACAGGAGCAGTAGTGATACCAAGGTTGGCCACGACAATTAAATTCAAGACATATCACGCAACAACATCAACGGCAGCAGAATTGGCAGCACTTCGTGCCGCGTTGCAATTTGTAGTTGATCAACCTACACGCAAGTGGACTATTTTCTGCGACTCGAAGGCGACACTGCAGTCTCTACTATCAGCCTTACGCAGTGGATCACACGAGCAGCTGGTACTAGAGATAGCAGAGGTTATACACCACCTCACTGAGAAAGGGCACCAAATTACATTTCAGTGGTTGCCCAGTCACTGCGGAATCATCGGCAATGAACGGGCCGATCAAGCTGCCCGCTCAGCCCACACAGAAGATCATAAACTGTGACTACCACTTTCTAGGGCAGATGCTGCACGAAAGCTCCGCAGATTTGCTCGCCAGCAAACCACATCGCAATGGAATCAGCCGCACTTCAAGCATGCCCGACTGTACTCGCTTGACCCTACGCTAAGTCTTCAAGTCCCGTCGAGGCTTCGCCGAGCAGACCAGACCCTGTTATGTAGGCTGTGGTTGGGCGTTGCGTTTACCAACGCCTACGCTTTCCGCATTGGGATGGCCGACACCGCAGCCTGTGGCCACTGTGGCAAAGAGGAAACAATTCAACATATTCTTTGTGACTGCCTAGCGTATAGTAAACAACGACTATGCCTTCGCAAGGAACTCAACAAATTAGATGATCAACCTCTGTCGGAGCAGGGAATTCTGCAGTATCATCAGGATGCGACTTCACAGAAGAGGGTCCTGGAGGCGCTACTACACTTTTTGTGATTGACCGGCCTTACTGATTGGTTGTAGCTAGGACGCCCTTCCTGTGTGTGTTTTCGTTTTTTTTTATGAGTGCGCGTGCGTTTTTTTTTTATCTCTATCTAACCCCTCTTTCTTGCCCCTACTTCCCCGCCCCCAGCGCTGGGTAGCAAACCAGATGCCAATATCTGGTTAACCTCCCGGCCTTTCTTTTCTCACTCTCTCTCTCAAAGGGGGGGGGGGGGGTCGTCCTGGTAGATATGGACGTCAATTGCTCTGCTAAACTTGTCTCTATTCGTGACAGCTGTCACTACGGCCCAATCTATTTAGTGACTTTCTTTCTTCGGTGGGCAATGTCTAGAGGAACGAGCAGAACCTATTCTCTATACAAATGTATTCTCCATTTCCATTGTTCGTGTACCCACTAAGTATGGTTCCAGTAAACGTGATAAGGCATAAAACTAGATTGATAGTGAATGGCATTCACATCCCAGTAGTTTTGTGAACTCTGCGCTATAAGAACAAACGGCTTGTTTCTTTTAGCATGTGAAAAGGTTTCAGCGCTTCCATTCTATCACTTTTGCTTTATTTGTACCCGGTTATCTTTCTCGGGGATGTACAGCCGCACGGCATGTCATCTCAAACCATGATTTTCGTCTCTTTGGAATGTAAAATTGACAAATACAGATGTTTTAATAATTACGTACATGGGGGTCATCCCTGAGCGTTTCCATTATATTTAAGCCCTACTGTGGCATCAGTGTGCTAGGGTCAATTAGGCGTTTTCGACAAAGCTGACGAAGTTATGTTCAGCGGGTTGGTACAGTATAAGTTCTCTAGCGATTCCGTCGGCCAACATCTTTCGGTGTCTCTACTTTCAATGCGGTGCTTCTTACGAGCCCGTTTGTCGTGTTTTCTTTCTCGGTGTGTATGCATTAATATCTCGCGCTAAGTTTACTTAACGGTGTCAAACTGACTAACACAATGGACTGTCCAACTGAAGCTTATTGCTTGTGGTAGATGGTAATATAAAACGTCTGTGCTAATTTAAACAGGGTAAAGCTTTACCCTGCCTAGGTAGTGAAATATGCGGGCAGCTGCGCTGCACGATAAATTAGTTAGCTAATTTTATTCTGCAGTCCAGATGTTTGGCACGAAAACGTTTGTTAATATTTTACACTGAGTAAACATCGTTCTATGACGCTACTAGGGCGATTCAGTTTAACGATTACGACTAACCCAGATTAAATTTAGTGTGTTCACTTTAGACACAAAAAAATATTCCAAAAATGAGATGCCAAATGAAGCTTTCTTACCCTGAGTTGGGCGAGTGTGCTTAGGTAATCTGAAAAAGAAGAAGGATGATCATATGCAAGTACACTTTTTAGTATCACAAACAGAACAGATTTCTTCGGTTACAGATGAGAGTCGTTTCAAAGCAGACATATTTCTTAAATTTTACTCACCAAGCACCTTCCGGTTTACCTTGAGGGAGAAGAAAAATTGATGCGAAGCATAAGGAATATTGCAACGTTATTGGGGAATTTTCCGTGGTCAATATTGAGATAAACTTTGTAGCTATTAAAAAGAAGACCAAACGCGACTTACGTCGTCAACATTGTATTTAGCTGAAACGAGAGGGCGCATGCGTTCTCGGCATCAGAAGTCTGAAGCTGCTTTTCTTTGTTAAGTGTCCAATGATGGTTGGAGGGATGGTGCGAAAAACTGAGAAATTGTCTACTTACTTCTGACGGGAATATTGTAGATCGGAAATAGAGCAGTACTGCTTTGCTCACCCTACCGTGAAATGCGAAGTGACGAGTTAACAAAGTGCAGAAAAGTATCACGGCATGTAAGTGATCGGTCTTCGGTTACCACTCAAAACCATCACCATTTAAGACAATGAAGAATTGAAGCCACTAATGAATTTTAATTAATTAGTCAAAAATTGCTAAATTGAACAGCTGTTCATGAGTACCAGCAGTTTTTACAAAGATTACAACAAAATTAGAACTCGTAAAACAAAAAGTTCAATATCAAATAACTTTTTAGAGTTGGAATTCATCACATTGCGCATAAACAAACAAGAAATACTTCATTGAAAGTGTGAAAAGCTGGATGATCGAGTGGCTGCACGATTATGGAGCCGATTAGCTAAGCGTAATATAGCATAATGTCTGCATTCTGTCTATTTATAAAACGTTACCTTGATGACGTACTTTGATCTCAGAAACCCCTGCAAACGAACAGAGAAACTAATGAGCGAGCGTTGAATGGCTGCACGCCGGATTCTTAACACTGGGAGCGTAAGTTTTGCTTGTCTGGTGACGAGGCATATTATTGCATTATTATACAATGAACATAGAACGATCTACGGCACATATTCATACTAGTAGTGATACTCGTAAGCAGTTAGACTATTGAATACGAAGACTATTGATCTACGTACAGCAAGTACTATTGGCGTCTATCTATCTATCTATCTATCTATCTATCTATCTATCTATCTATCTATCTATCTATCTATCTATCTATCTATCTATCTATCTATCTATCTATCTATCTATCTATCTATCTATCTATCTATCTATCTATCTATCTATCTATCTATCTATCTATCTATCTATCTATCTATCTATCTATCTATCTATCTATCTATCTATCTATCTATCTATCTATCTATCTATCTATCTATCTATCTGTCTGTCTGTCTGTCTGTCTGTCTGTCTGTCTGTCTGTCTGTCTGTCTGTCTGTCTGTCTGTCTGTCTGTCTGTCTGTCTGTCCGCTTACGTCTGCGTGCTCTCTTGATCGTTCCCCTAACTTGGTGTGAACCTAAATTAGTATGGGAGGGTAAGATGGTTTGACTAACATGACGCGCCAGTCAAGACATAACTAATGTCATAATTCCGTCACGTAGGTGATCAAACACTTTCCGCAGGACAGTAGCACACACCCGCGGGCGGGTGTGTGCCAGTGGTATGCGGGTATGGGCCAAAGGTAATTGACACTCAGGAACGGCGAACAACGCACATGGGTAATATTAACGCGTGAGCATTAACAAAAAGTTGTCATCGGCAGCGTTGACCAAATGGATTCAAAAAATAAATGTCAGGATGAAGCCCAGCATTCTACGTGGCAATCAAGCATTGTACCTCAGAGCCACGCCTGGTGTGGGAACTACTTTTAAAGTACACCTTAATGTTCGTGAAACATCCATTTTGGTTGCGATGCTGGCGATCCAATTTTATAAACTTTACATATGTACTCCTCGGGTAAACGTCAATTGTGTTCAGATACCATTCTCTGAGGTTGATTGATGTAGCCATGTTCAGGGATACCATCCTCGTGAGCACGCACACTACATGTCCGTTTAATGCTTCTGGTGTTGCTAGTATTCACGTATCTGTTGGCACCTTTGCACGAGTGCAAACTACTGGGTATATAAGCATCTCCGACTGTTCAACATGTATCTGTGCGTGCAACATATCTATTCTATATTCAGCGACGTTTCATAACGTGTCGCTCAATGAAAATTTACAACACAGTCACCTTCCCTCCGAATGCTTCGCATAACGTCGATTTCCAAGGTACGTGAGTCTAACAGTAGTGAGTCTTACAGAATTTGTGAGTCTTACAGTAACTAACTTCTTTACTTTAGTGCATAGATAATTGAACATTTAGAAAGGCTGCTTTTAGTGTTCTTTTTGAGCACCATTTTCACAGGATACACGCATGCAATCAGGTTCATGGTACCTGAGCTTCATTACATAACCGGTGTTCTTATATGAATCGCGTCGAGTTATTGAGCAGTTTCCCCGGTGTATTTAACAGGTGCGGCAGTGCTTCGGGCACGTATCCCTCCCCTTCTTTATTTTTTTAAAGGTAAAGCAAAGGTGATTTACCTCAAGGGTCTTTGCCATGATGATGAAACCTATGTGTAGTGAAATATAAGAGGGGAAAAGGCTATAATGCTCTCATAATCGGAAATGACGTAGTTAGTGAATCATGTGGCGATGTTTAAAAATCAGAATTTCGAAACCTATACAAATACAAACACCCATGCTACAGTCACTATGACAAAGTATGATATTTACAAACACCCATGCTACAGTCACTATGGCAAAATATGATATTGCTTGAATAAAGCTTACATAACATCTTCTATAAGTCGTATATCAGGGTTCATCGGGTCATTTTTCTAAGTATGGTATAGCCTGACAGTAGTTAGGCGAGCTGCTGTTGCTTTTATTATAGGTTTAGCATTTTCTTTTTTTTTTCATGTTCTCTAAGATACCTCGTTGTATGTTCATAAAACACTGTCAGATTTCCCAATATGTGACATGAAAGTCATCTTGTTTGTGAGGCTTCTGACGCCACGATGCCTCTTCTGTACTCATTTCGCATGGTTTTCGATCATATTGAGCGTCTTCTTTTAATTGCGTACTTGCTTTCATATATATATATGCAACTCCAATGCTAACATCTAACTTGTGTCTTAAGTAGTCTAACAAGCTATGACAGAATTTTTTTCGGATGTCGGGAGATTGCAAGAAGCTATTACTGTGTCATACTCTTTCATGACATCAGCAGACTATTAGTACATTTGCTCTCATCGTAGGGTTAGCGTTAAGTATGTGAAGACACCAAGAAACACGAAAAAGAACCTGAATATTCCCCCTGCATGGGCACGCAGCCTCTAGTTAAGCCGCGAATTGAAACGCGCTAACAATGCGTACTGTACTGTTTGACCGAATGCAGTCCCTGTTTGCTCGGAAATTCAAAATGTTCTCAGGTATTGTGGTCCCTACACTTTTAACGCCGGCTGCACAACTCGTACACACTACAGGTGTCAACACAATTCGCAACATAACCTACTGTATCCATTTTTTTACTTATGATAGCTTCATGCTATTATACTTATGGACGCTTTGTATTTTTGTTGCACCAGACTTAGTTTTCTGATTCGATAAGACTTGAGTGCATTACAGCGATTCATAAAAAAGAAGGTACTCACGGTTTATGAGGTTCCTGAAGAGGTCCTCCGATATGGAAGACTGCATCCCAAAACCACGAAATCAGTCGTAAATGTTCAAGAAATTAATTTTCGTGATCAATATTAACGTTTCGTAATACACCCCTGAAATTTTAGCGCTGACCTTACAGATTGAGTTAGATGAGTGACTATGCGGATTCAAATGGTCGACAAAAGTTGAGTATTCTGACAATTTCGGTAGTATGGTGTCATGGGTTCGTTGATTCATTCGATGACTTTCACTTAATTGCAGAAATTTTGAAATGCTACTTACCTCGTATTGATCTGTAAACCTGTAGAATCCTTAGAGAGAACGAAAAATGCCGGCAGTGTTCAATTTAAAAATCATATTGTGGTTCCTTCCTTTAATTTTTACTTGTTTTGATTAACCTGATTTAATTAACCTGATTTAATTAATCTGACAATACTAACAACACGCATATTAACACAACATGTTTCAATCGTTGACCATAAAATCAGCGAAGCGTTTGGAAGCCTCACTCAATGTTTTTGGATAACTGGTCATTATTCTGGCATTCTGAAAATTGGCGACTAATTTAATGCAAGTAAATATCAGTTTCTCTATATTGTAAATTGACGTGTTTGGCTGATGTAAAGGGTCGCAGCTAATATATTACTTCGCTATAACATTAACAGGGAGATTATTCACAACCCTAAAGACTCAGCACACAGCAGCAAAAATTACAACAAAGCATGGACGCCGAGTCCAACATTATTTACCTCCTAACTAAACTTGTTTTATTACATCACAAATACGAAACAAGAAGAATGCAGGTACTTACGGTATAGCTTGGTATACACCTGCCCCGTCCACCATGAAGAACAATCAGCAGTGGCATCATGAGAAGATGCCAACTTTACTGGCGCACACGTAATTGTGAACTTACCTCGTCAAAAAGTTTTTCGGCTAATGGAGAGATGAAGTGAGTACACAAGAATCAGCGCAATGAGGCGGGACAGTCCCAACAGCGAATAAAAGCGTGCAGGTTAAAACACAATGGGTGTAATAATTACAGCCAAGAATTGTAGCATTAATTAGCACTACTTAGGAAGGACGAGGAAGACCGGAGCCTGCTGGATAAGGATTACAGCGCAATAATATAGGGAACATTGAACAGTTTTATATTAATCCCTACAGAGGTGCTTGCACGAAATGTCTCGTCACTTCTGTCACAGGCGTGCTTCATTGCGCGCACTTTTTTGTATATACATGACGTCTCTCATTGAGTCAAGGCCTCGGTCACAAAAAATGTGCTTTCGAGGGAAACACCTGAGGAGGCAGCCGCACTACCCGAGTGACCCGCTCATGACACCTGTCGGGCTCGACAACACACTGAATCACGGTAGTACCTTTACGTACACATCAGTGTTAGGATGAGCTCTGGACACGCGCATGTTTGCCCGCAACAGGTACCAGGCTCATACATTGATGAATCGGCGTGAATAAGGCACCGTCACGCGCACATCAATGACATTTGTGCTTTTTTTTTGTTGAGTGTACACGCCTTCGTATTGATGAACGGGGGCTAAGTACGGGAGAGAGAGGAAAAGTACTTTTTATTGGAAGGCAGAGAATTCATATGGTGCGTGTATGTGACTGACTAGCTGCCTCTTTTTGTGGAAGAAGATTGAGAACTGAGACAAAAAGAGAGGGGAATACATGAATAGTTGAAATGGAATAAAATGTAAATATACAGGGTGAGTTTTTTTTTCACTCTTGAAGTGGGATGTGTGCTGACAGGGTGACTTATCCCGGGCTTTCAAGGCACGCTTACAGTTTTTCGAGCTGTCCGATACTG